GTCACATTCCAACAACTTTTAATAGAGTATATTATCATCGTTCATGTTATTATTGTTAATAATTTATTGCTAAAAACAATGAACGTGATTGTAAATTACACTTTATCACAGAGATGTACACATAGGAAAAACAAATTTATCCATAGTTCAGTACTATCCACAGTCTCAGGAATCCACTGGGGGTCTTGGAACCTCTCCCCCAATAATAACAGGGGACTACTGTATTGGTTGAGAGTTTTATTTTTTGTTGTTGCTTTGGTTTGGTTTACTTTTTTTGTTGTTGGTTTTTGTTTTGGTGGGACTGGAGTTTGAACTCAGGGCTTTGCACTTTCAAAGCAGGGGCTTTTACTACTTGAGCCACACTTCCAGCCCATTTTGTTCTGGAGATGGAGTCCCATGAACTATTTGCCCAGGCTGTTCTCAAACCTTGATCCTCCAGATCTCAGCCTCCCAAGTAGCTAGAATTACAAGTGTGAGCCACCTGTGCCCAGCTTTGGTTTCCTTTATTTAAGACAGTATTGCTGGGTATTGGTGGCTCACACCTGTAATCCTAGCTACTCAGGAGGCAGAGGGCAGAGGACTGGCATTCAAAACCAGCCAGTGCAAATAGTTTGTGAGACCCTATCTCAAAAAAAACTTTCATAAAAAGGGCTGGTGGAGTGGCTCAAGGTGTAGGCCCTGAGTTCAAACCCTGGTATGGCAAAAAGAAAAAAAAATAATTTGAATTCTAGGGCTGGGGATGGAGCTCAGTGATAGAGCACTTACATAGAATGTGGGAGGCCCTGGGCTTCATCTCCAACATCACAAAAAAATACATAAACATAATTCCACAGGACAACTCCAGAAGGCTTGACAAAAGTAGCATTTCACTCTTCCAGTAAATATTGAGAGCATACACGTGTCAGAGAAAGCCATTAGTTTCATGGAAATTACATTCCAGTTTGTATTTCAGAACCTTATAGAACAGACAGAATGTATCACAGAACTTGAAGGAAGTCAGTTTCAGGCAGAGGGAATTGAGGCTGGAGACGCTACAATGCACGGGAATGATAGGGATATTGGAATATTGCCTGGTCTGCGGAGGGGAAGGAGGAGAGCCCCACAAGTTGGAAATCCTCTGGTAAAAAGCTTGGAATGCCAAGCTGAAGAAGCTTAGGTTTGCCCTGAAGGAAATTTAAAGGTATTAAACTAATCAGGAAAGTCATTTCAGAGATCTTCTAAGGACCACAGTGTGGCGGGTAAAGGGAGCTGGATCAACTAGACACTTGGCTATTTCAATCCCCCAGTGAAAAATTTAACCTAAGCAACTGCTGCTTACAGATTGATGATAAAGGGAAGGTAATAGAAGAAATCACAGACAAAATAAGAAAGCTTGCCCATGTCCCCATCCAGACCTGGAGAGGATGGGATCCCAATGACCTGTTTGGAGGATGGTTCTCTGCCTTGGGTGGATTCAAAACCCTGATGGGGCAATGGGCCTTGTCCTGGGAGCATGCTTAACACTCTCCTGCCTGGTTCCCCTGGTATTGTGGTCTATCAGGACTATTACGGAGGTCATTATAGGAAAAATAAAAATTAAAAAATAGCCATATATGTAAAGATGCTATGAAAATACAAACCCCTAGATCAAGATGATGCTCTTTGACCCCACGTGGGTCTGAGCATCCAAGGGGGGAATACTGTAGCAGGGAGGAGGATCAGAAGAAAAACAGGCTGTGTTCTGATAATGAGGCAGGGGAAAGGGATGGCAAAGTGGAGAAAGAAAACTTAAATAATTGAAACATGAAGAAGGTCACAGTGCACTGGGGGAATGAAATAGCCAATGAAGTCACATGCAGCCATATGTGGGATGAGCTTTGCTTTTTGTTTCTGTAATCTACTTGCAAGGGTATAGAAGGTGGGACCCCTTTGTTCTCGGGGCTCAGCCTTTGGACATGAGTCCACTGAGTCTGTGCCAGCACAATAAAACATTGCTTCCTGCTAAACTGTCTCAGTGTCCCCCATCTCAACTTGAGATTCCTGTAACAGTTTCATTCATTGGAGAGATGAATCAGAGATGTCATGAAAAGGCATGTGTTAGTTGGGCACCTGTAGATTCTGGAGGGAATGGCAAAGAATAAAATTCCAATGATCCAGCACACGTTATAGCTTCCTTTTACAGGAGTAGCACTCAGAACACACTCCTGTGGAGTGACTGTGATTAGGTATTAGATTATGGTCACCTGCAGTAGGTGTTCCCCTACTGGTACTGGTAAGAGCACAGAAGCTGGAGGTGCTAATTCGGCCACTTTGACACCTCTGCAGCCTTGTACAGAGCCCCTAACTTCTGCAAACCTCAGCTTTCCCGCTTGTAAAATGCCGATGATACTGCTACAACACAGAGTTAGTGCAAGGATTCAGTGAATCATTAATGCAAAGCTTCGACCACGTAGTGCACACCGTGTAAATATCAGTTGCGATTTGCTATGTTGCCTGATACAGGTGCAGAGATGTGTGGGGTCCGTGGTGCTAACTGCGCGCCGTCTCGTGCACCTGCACAGTATTGCTGAGCTCTCAGTATCCCACGCATCTGAGGATGCTGATGACTCCGCTGGATTTTTCTGAAGAGCATGGGAAGGTGAGTGGGGGCGGGGGGGGGTGGTGGAAAACTGCACAGTCCGCGCAGCTGCAGAACGGCTTGCAGAGGCGCCCGCCGGCCGCTAGGGGCCGCTGGAGCTCCTGGGTAAGCCCCGCCCCGAGGGGTCAGGGGTCAGTAGATAGCTAAGAACTGGAAGCTAGAGGCGGGAATCCGGGATCGTGCGCCTATGGCGCCGCCGCAGCGCTGTCCTCTGTGTCGCCAGACCTTCTTCTGTGGTCGCGGACACGTCTACAGCCGCAAGCACCAGCGGCAGCTGAAGGCGGCTCTGGAGCGACTCCTGCCCCAGGTGCGGACGCAGGGCTGGAGGGGGGCTGGTGATACCGGATAGTGCGGCGAGGGCTCGGGGCGGGGTGGGGGGAGCTGTGAGTTGACGGTCCCTCTCCGGATCCTACCTGGCTTCTTCCTCCTAGGTGGAGGCCGCCCGCAAGGCCATCCGCGCCGCGCAGGTGGAGCGTTACGTGCCAGAGCACGAGCGATGCTGTTGGTGCCTGTGCTGCGGCTGCGAGGTGCGGAAACACCTGAGCCACGGAAACCTGACGGTGCTGCACGGGGGGCTGTTGGAGCACTTGGCCAGGTGACAGCGGGATGGTGGGGAGGAAGGACGGTCTTGTGATTCGATCGGGGTAGATGGATTGCGTCACCTTATAAGCATTGTCAATCCCGGAAGTAGGGGGGTCTATGCCTGCCAAGAACCCAGTGGTGTGGGTGGAGTAGTTAGGAAAGCTAGCTTGCTTTCCGCCCGCCACCTGACAACTTTATTGGAAGAAGGGAGACTGGAGATCTTGAAGAGATTGGCAATAGTATTCTCTCTCTGCCTTGCCTGAAGGCTTACTCAGATCCCAAGCACTGCTTTATAATCTATAGCTGAGAATATCTTCCTCTTCATTCTCAGCCCAGAGCACAAGAAAGCAACCAACAAATTCTGGTGGGAAAACAAGGCTGAGGTCCAGATGAAAGAAAAATTTCTGATCTCCCCCCAGGATTATGCCCGGTAAGTCACTAGTTAGGAAAGACAAACTGGCAGCCTGAATTCTTGAGATCATTATCAGTCTTGAGAGTTTGGGTTTTTTTGTTTTTTGTTTATTTTTCCAGGTAGTGGGGATTAAACCCAGCACCTTGTGCTGAAGCACTTTTCCTATTAAGCTATACTCCCAGTATTTTGCTTTCATTTATTTTTTTGTTTGGTTGATTTTCGGTGGGACTGGGGTTTGAATTCAGGGTTTTGTGCTTGCAGTGCAGGCACTCTACCACTTTAGTCACACCTCCAGTCTTTATTTTGTTTTGAGAGAAGGTCTCCCTAATTTTGCCTGGGCTGGCCTCAAACTCTTATCCTCCTGCCTCTACCTCTCCAATAGCTGGGATTATAGGAATGAGCCACCATGCCAGGCTAACTTCTTTAAATTGGAAAGTTAAAAACCCAGTGAGGTAGTGCAGGCCTGTAACCCCAGCACTAAGGAGGATGGTGAGTTTGAGGCTGTCCTGAGCTACTTAGTAAATTTGAGACCAGTCTGTGCTAAATGGTGAGACTCTGTCTCAAAACACCAAATAATCCAGGCACTAGTGGCTCACGCCTATAATCCTAGCTACTCAGGAGGCAAGAGATTAGGAGAATCGAGGTTCGAAGATACCCTGGGCAAATAGTTCACAAAATCCTATTTTGAAAAACCCTTCACAAAAAAGGACTGGTGGAGTGGCTCAAGATGTAGGCCCTGAGTTCAAACCCCAGTATCACCAAAAAAATAAAACAAAAAACAGCAAATAAGTAAATAAATAGGCAAGTTCAGCAGGGACTTCATTAGTTCTAGTTATTACTTCTATTATTTTGATAGCACTTATACATATATGTATATATACATCCATTTTTTTTTTTTGTGGTAGTGGGTGTTGAACTCAGGGCCTCAAGCTTGCTAATCAAGTGCTATAGCAAGCTCAAAGGACTATATTGAACACACGAAAAATGTGACAGCTGGGCACAGTGACTTGTGCTGTAATTCCAGCTATTTGGAAGGCCGAGGCAGAAGGATCACTTGATCCCAAGAGTTTGATGTCAGCTTGGCCAACATAGCCAGACACACACTCAAACTTGCTCATTCTCTCTCTCTGAGACAGGGTCTCACTGTGTAGCCCAAGCTAGCCTCATCCTCCTGAGTGCTGAGATTACAGGAGTAAGCCACCACACCCCGAAAGACCCTGTCTCTTAAAAAAAAACAGGCATGGTGGTGCACATCTGTAAAGTCAACTGTTCAGGAGACAGAGGCAAGAGGATCTTGAGTTCCAGACCAGCCTCTGCTACAGTCAGATGACCCTGGCTCAAAAAAAAAAAAAAAAGGCTGGGGGCATAGCTCAAGTATAGCTCAAATGTTAAAGTGCCTGCCTAGTCTTGAGTTCAAACCCCAGTAGCACACAAACAGGTTATGATCCGGAATTATGAGGATGAACTAAACTTTTTTTTCAGTGCTGGAGATTGAACCTAGGGCCTGTGCGTGTTAGGAAAGCATTCTACCATTGAGTTATATCCTCATCCCCACTCTTTACACTTTTTTTTTTTTTTTTGTGGCACTGGTGTTTAAACACATGGTTTTTCACTTGCAAAGCAGGCTCTCTAGCAATTGTGCCAACATTTACAGCCCATTTTGCTCTGGTTATTTTGGAGATGGCAGGGGGGGCGTCTCATGAACTCTGTGCCTGGGCTGGCCTAAAACCATGATCCTCCTGATTTTAGCCTCCCAAGTAGCTAGGATTACAGACCTAAGCCACCAGTGCTTAGCCTATTCTTTAAACTTCTGTGGAGTGATTTCAGTATATGTTAAGTGAAGGTATAAAAGAACATACAAGCATGGCAGAGTAGCTCAAGTGGTAGAGCACCTACCTAGTAAGTATGAGGCATTGAGTTCAACTCCCCCCTGGTACAGGGGAAAAAAAAAAAAAAGATCGTATGTATTATACTCCTTGTATAAGAAAGAAAATAAAAATATATGTAGTAACTGGGAGCCTGTGGCTCATGCCTATAATCCTAGCTACTTGGGAGGGTGAGATTGGTAGGACTGTAGGTTGAGGCCAGCCCTGACAAATAGTTCACTTAAGTAGTAGAGCGCCTGCTATGCAAGTATGAAGCTCTGAGTTCAAAACTCAGTCTCACAAAAAAGGAACACTAGTCATGTACCATATACTGACACTTCTTCCATCAAGGATGCTGTGCACATACAAAGGTGGTCCCATAATTTTATATTGCTTAGTGATTTTGTAGATCTTTGTGTAAGCAGACCCTCTGATACCTGTACAATGACTTCATGGCACAGTTCTCAGGACATATCTCTCACATTAAGTGATGTCTGACTGCATACATATTTAGTTTTTCAAAAACATGTATAGGATAACAAAAACACTAATGAAACTGATTACTACTACTGGGTCAGGATACAATGTAGAGGTGACAGGAATAGAACATGATTTCTGAGTATACTACAGTTCTGACTTGGGACCTTTGTAAATTATCAAGCTTGAACACACAAGGCAAGATGAAGACTTGGCTAATCTCACTGGTAAAGATACAAGGAGCCACTTTAAGATTTAGGAAGTAGACTGCAGGTGTGGCTCAAGCAGTAAAGCACCTGCCTCCCAAGTGTGAAGCCCTGAGTTTACACCACAGTACACCAAAAAAAGATTTAGGCAATTTATTGTATACACAGAGTGAAAACAAGAGTAAGCTAGAAGTGTCAGCTTCTAGGTCCTTGTTCCCCACACTAAAAAAGGACCACATTGGGACAAAAAGGGTTGGACATGTGCAATGTCAGTTGTGAGATATACTGGGGAACCTAATCTAGAAGTCAGGCAAGTGGGTTTTCTTTTTTCTTTTTTTTTGTGTTTGAACTCAGGGTCTACACCTTGAACCACTCCACCAGCCCTTTTTTTGTGAAGGGTTTTTTCAAGATAGGGTCTCATGAACTATTTGCCCTAGCTGACTTCGAACCTTGATCCTCCTGATGTCTGCCTCCTGAGTAACTAGGATTACAGGTGTGAGCCACTGGTGACCTGCTCTGTTTTAAAAGTTTATTGTTACCTATTTATTTTTGGTTGGACTGGTGTTTGAACTCAGGGCTTTTACACTTGCAAAGCAGGCACACTACCACTTGAACCACACCTCCAGTCCATTTTGCTTTATTTTGGAGATGAGGCCTCATGAACTGTTTGCCCAGGCTGGCCTGGAACCACTATTCTCCTGATCTGTGCCTCCCAGGTAGCTAGGATTACAGGCTATGTGGTGCCCAACTGACCTCAAACTCTTGATTCCCCTGCCTTAGCTTCTGGGGTGCTAGGATTACAGGAGCTCACCACCATGCCTGGCTAAAAGTTCATTTTTCATTGACAATTTTTATTTATTTATTTTATTCATATGTGCATACAATGTTTGGATCATTTCTCCCCCTTTTCCCCCCGCCCCTACCCTCTTTCCCCCATCTCCTCGTTACCAGGCAGAAACTATTTTGCCCTTATCTCTAATTCTGTTGAAGAGAGAGTATAAGCAATAATAGGAAGGAACAAGTGTTTTTGCTAGTTAAGATAAGGATAGCTATACAGGGAGTTTACTCGCATTGCTTTCCTGTACATATGTGTTACATTCTAAATTACTTCTTCTCAAACTAACCTTTTCTCTAGTTCCTGTTCCCCTTCTCCTATTGGCCTCTGTCACCTTAAAGTTTCTGCATTAGTTCCTTTGCATTGAGGACATCAAATGCTATCTTGTTTTTTTGGGGTTTCTTGCCTATCCTCATACCTCCCTTGTGTGCTCTCACCTCACCATATGATCAAAGTCCAATCTCCTTGTTGTGTTTGCCCTTGATCTAATGTATACATATGAGGGAGAACATATGATTTTTGGTCTTCTGGGTCTGGCTAACCTTGCTCAGGATGATGTTCTCCAGTTCCATCCATTTACCTGCAAATGATAAGATTTCATTCTTTTTCATGGCTGAGTAGTATTCCATTGTATATAAATAAATTTTCTTAATCCATTCATCAATAGTGGGGCATTTTGGCTGTTTCCATAACTTGGCTATTGTGAATAGTGCTGCAATAAACATGGGTGTGCAAGTGCCTTTGGAGTAACCTGTGTTGCATTCCTTTGGGTATATCTCCAAGAGTGGTATTGCTGGATCATATGGCAGATAACAATTTTTTAAAAAGCTAAATGGATGCATTTATTAGTCCTGGGGATTGAACCCAGGGCCTTCTGCGTGCTAAGCATTTGTTCTACCAAAACTAAGTGGTTTTATATTCAGCTCTGAAAAGAATGCTTCAGAAAGGCCCCATGTCACCAAATGCCAGTAGCTCATGCCTGTAATACTACCTACTCAGGAGACAGAGATCAGGAGGATCACAATTAGAAGCCAGCAGATAGTCCAAGAGACCCTATCTCGGACTGGCAGAGTGGCTCAAGTGATAGTGTGCCCGCCTAGCAAGCGTGAAGTCCTGAGTTCAAACCCCAGTGCCACCACCAAAACAAAAAAAAGGCTCCATGTCTCAGAGCCCAGGAGTTGATGAGAAACTGTCTCTTGCCAGCCTCCCAGGAGAGACAGGGAAGTCATTGGGGAGATGGCCTTGTAGAAGTTTCTTACAGGCTTCCCATCTTCTCATGTGTTGGGAGAGTCACACAAGGTACTGAGTCAAGACTGATAAGCTTCAGTTCAAGTGATTCCTACATAAGTGCAAGGTTGTGAGGGCACTGTTAATAGTAGTATCCATATTTTGAAAGCTTTTTTGAGTATTGTAGAATAAAACTGCAGATACATTTATGTTAATAACCAAGCTTCTACCTATGGCAAAAGGAAGATACGAGTAAGGAATGGAGGGATTTGAGTAGGAAAATATTAATGAATTTTTTTTACTAGCATGTATTAGTTATACAGGAGGGTCTGTTGTAAAATTTATGTGCTTACAATGTATTTTTGTTAGATTCACCCCTTCACGTGTGATTTTTTTTTTTTTTGCATTACTAGAGTTTGAACTCAGGACCTACACTTTGAGCCACTCCACCAGCCCCTTTTTTGTGATGGACTTTTTTGAGATAGGGTCTTGAAAACTAGTTGCCCAGGCTGGCTTTGAACCTTGATCCTCCTGATCTCTGCCTCCTAAGCAGCTAGGATTATAGGCATGAGCCACCTGTGCTCGGCTCATATATGAATTTTTGAAGCGTAAAGCTTAGGTGGTTATGTGTGGCATCGGTAACAGGGCAAGTCTAGCCAAATACAGTTATATGCTCCTGATGTGAAGCAATGGCAATCATCTTCTGTGTGATATCCCTGCCACAAATTATTTAACTTGAATTTCATTAAAAGGAAACTGAGAAATTCAGGATTTGGGATGGTGCACAAGATCTGACCTGAATTCATTAAAGGATTTGAAGTTAAAGCCAGAGAGAAGGAAGACTAGAGACCTAGCAGCCAAATTCCATGTGTGACCTTTCATTGGACATTGGGATTCTGGGGTTAGAGAAGGCGTCAATGGGGAAAACTTGAATATAGACTGTCTTTCTGTACTCATTAGCCAAATACTGAACATCAGAGTGATTGATTTTCCTCTGTGTGGTAATGATGTCATGGTCACATAGAATGTTCTTGGAAGATGCATGGCAAAATACTTTGGGTTAAGACTCATAGTATCTAAACCCTAGCTGTCCTGGGGCATATGCCTGTAGTCCTAGCACTTGGGAGGTTGAGGCAGAAGGATCTCAAGTTCAAGGCCAGTCATAGCTACAAAGTGAGGACTTGCCTCAAAAAAATAAAAAACCAGCCAGGTACCAGTGGCTCATGCAGTAATCTTAGCTACTCAGGAGGCAGAGATCAGGAGGATTGTGGTTGGAAGCCAGCCCAGGAGAATAGTCAAATAGTTCACAAGACCCTCTCTTTTGAAGACTGTTCACACACAAAAAAGCACACACAACACGACTTATGGTGTATATAAACCTATTTTTGTTTTAGCAAACAAGGGTGTGTATGTGCATGTGTAAGCGAGATGTGGCCAGTATAGCAAAATGCTATTGCATCTAGTTGATTGTGAATTGGAACATTCTCAAAATTAAATAATTTATCTACTGAGGAGCTTTTCATAACTGGCTGGTGTTCTGGGCTGATTTACCCATTTTCAATTTTTTCTTTTTTGGTCTATTCTTAGATTTAAGAAATCCATGGTGAAAGGCTTGGATTCCTTTGAAGAAAAAGAGGATGAGGTGATCAAAGAGGTAAGTAAAGAAGGCCTCTAAAGGACCCTTTCCCATGATCCTGAATCCATCTAAGCATTCTTTTTTCCACAGATGGCAGCTCAGATCCGGGAGGTAGAGCAGACCCGGCAAGAGGTGGTCCGATCTGTCTTAGAGGTTGGTTTCCCTCGGAGGATCCAGAGCAGTATCCAAATCCACTGATCCCTGGCTTCCCCAGGTCTGGCATTTCAACAACCAGCTCCTCTCAGAGAAGTCCTGGACATCATCCTCATCTGCTTGACTTGAGTTCCCTTACCTGTCCACCTGGGGCACCTTAGGCCTAGTCAAGTGGAGATGAGGGCAGGGCTGGCAGTTTGCAAGATGGGCAGTACCCTCCATGATACTGGGATCTGGAGTGTGGGGACATGGCCTAGGTAGGCTCTTAAGCACCTTAGACACATTTATTTTTCCTGAATCAAACTCAGCCTCAGGCAGAGCCAGACCCAGAAGAGGGTTCTTCAGTACCTGGAAGCTGGAAAGGAATGAACAGGTAGGATTATCAAGGAACCTCTCAGAACAACCTGTAAACTTTTGGCTGGGGAATGAGAACAGATCTCATCTTTGCCATGCTTATGGCACAAGGACCTCATCTGCCAGCCTCACTCCTATTTGTCTTTCAGCCAAGTAGCTTCCAGCTCACAGCAGCTCTCACAGTTGGACACGCAACCAGCTCCAGAGCTTGACTGGATGGAGATGGGACAACCTCTAACGTTCATTGGTCATCAGGTACAATGGACTAGCAAGTTAGAAGAGGACCAATGTCTTAGGATAGCTCTCCCTTCTGGCTTTCCTACCCTATACTCTTGGCCATTTCCATCTCTTCTGCAGGCTTTTCATTATTGGTATTATGTTCTTAGACCTCTTTTCTCATCTTCCACACTTGTCACCATTGCCACCCAGAATTCTAACCCCTAAACCTGGTCCAGCTCAATACAGAACATCTATACTTCAGTGTGCCACAGGCATCTAAAACCCCTACCTCTCCTGTTGTGCTAGATGTGCATTCTTATCCCCTCCTCTCCTCCCAACCCAGCAAGTTTGTCCAACAATTTTACCTCCTCTCTGCCTCTGTTTTTACTCCCCCTGCCATCTCTTACCTCTTGTGCCCCAGCATTCTGACTACACTGCAGCAGCTTCCACACTCGTGCCATTGCCTTTTCTCCCTTCTACATGTCACTAAGGCGTCTTCCTTCAGCACCTAGCTCATGGGTCACTTTTTCACCTTAAGCTCATTAGAACAGTCGTTTCTATTATAAACAGTTCCATCACCCATGCAAATCCTCAATCTATTTTGTACACGGTTCTCCCCCATTTCTGTATATGCTGAGGGCAGGGCTTATTCACTTGCCTCATGACAGGTACGTTCAGATATATCCACTATCAAGACCATGAGCCTCTTGAGGCCAGGACTACTTCAGTTGCTTTCTGTGCTCTCTAGCCTCAGCCAAGAACAGAATTAGTAGTATTGGGGACAGCAGTTTCATTTATTTCCTGTTAAGGATACTTTATCTCTAGTGGTGCATTCTCTTGGCTTTCTTACCTAGGATCTTTTTTCTCCCCATTTCTACTACAGGATATGCCTGGAGTTGGTAACATCCACTCAGGTAAGGAACCTGAGTTTACTAAGATAAGTATGTATTACGGCTACTGAAGGTTTTGTATCCAGAATGAGAAACTCAGCAAGAAATCCATAAAAGCATATGAAGATCCTCATTAGTCAAATGCAAATAAAGAAATCACAACATAACATACACATTAGAATATCTAAAATTAAAGACTGACTGTACTGTTTGGCAATTAAGTGGAGAACCTAGACCCCTTCCCATACACCTGAAAGGAACATAAAAGGATAGGAACAATCACTTTGGGGAAAAAGGTTGCCATACACCTGTGTGACCAGCCTTTCCATCCCTCAATTTACTCAAAAGAAGGGCCTGTTTACAGACTTGTACATAAATCTTCATAGCACCCCCAAATTGGAATCCCAATATTCACCAACAGATTAATGGGCTGTCGTATTCAACAAACAAGTGATATGTCAGAAATATGAATCTCAGCCTAATTATGACACAGACCAGACCTCCTCCCCAAAGTACATACTGTTCTGGTAACAGAAAAACCCTACAAAAACATAAACATCCTACATCAGTGGTTACCCTATACAGAAAGGATTTTAATGGATTACCAGGATAGTTTGGGGTGATATGCAAGGTCTAACTATGATGCTTTAACCTAAAAGGCACTAATTTAAGTGTGTTGCTTTTATGTCTCAAACCTAGTTAGTATGCCTCCAAGTTTGTTTTTTGTTTTTGTTTTTTTTTTGTGGTGATGGGGTTTGAACTCTATAGAGTCTATACCTTCAACCACTCCACCAGCCTTTTGGATGTGTATGTTTTTTCTAGACAGGCCCTTACAAACTATTTGCCCCGGCAGGCTTCAAACCTTGATCCTCCTCACCTCTGCCTCCTGAGCAGTTAGGATTATAGGCCTGAGCCACTGACACAACCCTCCAAGCCTTTTTAAACAGTGCATCACAGCCAGGCACTGATGGCTCACTCCTTTATATCCTAGCTACTCAGGGGGCAGAGATCAGAGGAGAAATCATGGTTCAAAGCAAGCCTGGGCAAAAAAAAGCAAGATCCTATCTTAAATACCCAAACATCAAGCTTGAAAAACAGAAAAAAAAAAAAAAAAAAACACACACACAAGCAAAAGGGGGCTAGTGGAGTGGCTCAAGCACTTGCCTAGTAAGTATAAGGCCCTAAGTTCAAACCCTGCCCACCCCCCAAAAGTGCATCACCCAGAAGGTGTATTGCTTTAATAGCGTAAGGCCTTCAACTTCCCAATCACCAGGAATCCTGGGTTTTAGTTCCAAACATTTCTCAGTTGGTTGAGGTAATGGCTGGAGCATGTTCCACAGTAACTTGGAGGTTTAGGAAAAAAAAAATGCTTTAATTTCTGTTGAATGGGTTTTCCTCCAGGTGCCACCCCTCCCTGGATGATCCAAGATGAGGAATACAGCTATGGAAACCAACAAATAGGACCTTCTTATGAAGAATTTCTTAAGGAAAGTAAGTTAACTTGAGGATAGAAGTTTCTTTTTTTCCTTTCTTGGCAGTACTGGGGTTTGAACTCAGGGCTTCATGCTTGCTAGGTAGGCGCTCTACCACTTGAGCCACTCCACCACCAGCCTGAGGATAGACGTTTCTTCACATTCAAAGTGGTTTCCTAGCCAGGTGCTGGTGACTATGCCTGCAGCTCCAGATACTTGAGAGGATCACCATTTGAGGACAGACCAAGCAAATTATTTTGTGAGAACCCCATCTCCGATATAACCAGAGCACGGTGGAGTAGTTGCAAGGCTCGAGAGACAGACTATCTGCTTATAGGGGAACATGCCTGTAATCCCAGCTATACCAGCAGCAGAAATGCTTGAGCCAAGGAGCTTGGGGCAAACCCTGGCAATGTAGCAAGACCCCATTCAGAAACAAACCAGCATGTTTCTTTATTATTGCAGAGGAAAGACAGAAACTCAAGAAACTTCCCCCAGACCGAGTTGGGGCCAACTTCGATCACAGCTCCAGCACCAGTGCAGGCTGGCTACCCTCTTTTGGCAGAGTGTGGAATAATGGACGCCGCTGGCAGTCCAGGTATGCTCCCAGTTTCAGAACTCCAGCCCTACTACTCTTGAAGATCTCAACCTTCACCCTGCTAATCCATCATTTCCTTTCAGACATCAATTCAAAACTGAAACTGCAGCAAGGAACAAACAGCAGTCACATAAAGCAAAAAGCTAATTGTTCCCAATCTTCTAATCACCATAAGGCTCAAAAAAGTCAACCATTTATTCCTTCCACCAAATCCTTTCCAATTGTTTTCCTTAGAAAACAGACATACCCATTCGTTTGATTTAATAAAGTTTTATTTCTCCAAATGTACAGTTGGCTGGACCTGTAAAAAAAAAAAAAAAAGTAGAGCCTTTGTAAAGGGGATGTATTTTACTTTACTTTCTATAGCCTCAGTTCCTGAGTTCTTGCTCACTTACCTGTTCATGCATCTTCACCAGCAGCTGGAGCATCTCCACCCTTAGTATTTCTTGTGTAAATTACTTGAGCTCTGTGCTTTGAAACCAATTTGATAAGTCCTAAGGAGAAAGAATAAGATTTTTAACATAGTAGTGCTATTTAATAGAAATTTTCTACTTCTTCCTGAAACTGAACTGCTTAACTGAGACACTTATACCTACCATACCCCAGGCACACCTAACAAAAGCAGGCATATCTACAGCTCTTAAATCATCTATGAATGATCCTTTATGTTCAGGGGCCATTATCTGCTCTTGGGACTTACTGTAAACTTAATTATTTTCCACATTATTCCAATCAATGTGGCTAGCTTAATTCATACTCATGACTAAACTAAAATTATGGCCCTCAGACCCACCACTCGAAGCAGAGGTCCACAATCAACATTTGAAGCCAACTGGGCAAAATAGTTTGTCAGACCCTATCTCAAAAAACCCATCACAAAAGAAGACTGATGGAGAGGCTCAAGGTATAGGCCCCGAGTTCAAATTCCAGTACTGCAAAAAAAAGAAAAAAAAATCGCTGGCTCAAGTGGTTGATTTGCCAACCAAGCACAGAACCCTGAGCTCAACCAACACCATGGGGGAGGATGGGAACCACTATCATGCCTCCTCTAATTCTTAATGTGTTTTACTTGAAACAAAGGATCGTTGGGTTTCACTGAACTGCCTCAGTTTTATGGTACAAAAGCAGCTAAAAATCCTGCTTTCACATCTGTCTGAGGTAAGTGGTATCTTCTCTGTGCTAGGGACGGAACCTAATGGCTCATCCAAGGTTTCTTCCATTTAACAGTGATATTTTTTAATCTTTTTGGTGAGACTGGGGTTTGAACCCAGGGCTTCACACTGCAAAACACGCTCTTCCCGGCCAGCTCTTCACTTAAGCCATGAGCCTGGCTTTTCTCTTTTAAAACTCTGCTTTCCCAGTAAAAGCACAGCTCTACCACGGTCAAGACAACGTAACCCCTAAAAAGCATCTAACATGCTCCTCACCTTTACTAAGGAGCTCCTGAAGGGCTGCCCTGGCCAGAGAACCCCGAATCTTCAGCCTCTCAGAGACCACAGCTGGAGTTATAAGCTTATAGTTGGGAACTTCTTTACACAGTTTGTCATAAGTGGCTTTGTCAAACAGAACTAGGTTGTTGAGCTTGTCCCGAACTTTGCCTTTGGACCACTTCTGCTCACAAAGAAAAAAGAAAAACTAGTGAGTAATCCTGGCAGAAGCACTTTCCCTCTAAATCAACATGTGTCTGACAACTCTCTTCTGATGTTACCCGAAATTAGACTGCAAAGCGAGAGAGCGCTTTGAAAATGGATCAAGTCCCAAAGCAACGTGTGAACCATTGGAGCAAACGCTTTATATGGACTTACTTCCCTGACTTTAGTATGTACCGCCTGTCCGTCAAGTAAATTAAGTCACAGATGAGTGGCGAAAGAAGCACAAAGTCTAAAATCCGCAATCTGACAAGCCACCACCAACACAGGTCACTTATCAATACAGCGCCCCCAGTCTCCCCCTCTTTAAAGACAGGCACACTCCTACCTTCTTTTTGGCCTTGCCCCCAGATTTGTTTACTGGGTCTTTGTCCTTCTTGGCTGACTTTCCGGCGTCTTTCTTCTTCTTGTCGTCCTTGGGCGGCTGTACGAGGAAAGCACAAGACAGGTCCTAAAGCCGCCCCAAGCTCCCCAGTGACCGCACCTCACCCGTTGACGGCGCCCGAACGCCACCACCCGAGCACATGGAGGAGCGATCCCCGCGCCCGCCGAGACCCAGCCCTGCAGTCCGAGGATTCTCCCGTCCGGTGTGACCTCCGCTAGCATCGCCCGGCTCTCAGAACCCCGCCGCTTCAAATCCCGAAGCTCACCATCGCGAAGCTGGGAGAGTAGCGGCGACCACTGCAGCCTCGCTAAGATGTCGGACAAAAAGGAAGCGTAGTTCCCCAAGAAGCCCAGAAACCCCCGCCCGCCGAGAGTACTTCCGGGGCAAGGGGCGGAGCCACGCAGAGGAAGTGGGAGGGGTGAGGCAGTCGCCGTCCCTCTAGTGGCGGGGCGAGGAAAATGGTTTCCAGCTCCCAAGCGACTGCTAAGTGTGAAATAGCCGTACAGTGCTCTTTTCTGGCACTTAGAAACGGAAAATAACTTTCCAGGTCCCGGCAACTAGCCTCCCGGCATTACCGAGTGCCAAAAGTGCATCTCCGAGTGCGCAAGCGCCGTAGGGGGCAGGCGGGGGACTGGGAGGAGAAAGCTGGAGTAGTGGGCAGGGCCGGGGCCCGTGAAGGCGGTTCCGGGGCGGGACGTCGGAAAGTGCACGGACCTAAGTGTCACCACGGTAGCAATGGCGATTTTTAGTGTGTACGTGGTGAACAAAGCTGGCGGCCTGATTTACCAGTTTGATAGCTACGCGCCACGAGCTGAGGCTGAGAAAACTTTCAGTTACCCTCTGGACCTGCTGCTCAAGCTGCACGACGAGCGTGTGCTGGTCGCCTTCGGCCAGCGCGACGGCATCCGGGGTGGGCTGGGCGCGGGCCAGGGGCGGGGAAGTGGGCTGGTGTGAAGGTGTGGGGTGGGGGGAGTTGGGTGTGAGTAGGGTCCCTCATCTCCTGGGCGGGATCTAGGCACTGGAGCTGAGCTGACTCTTGGCCTCGCCTCTGCAGTGGGCCACGCAGTGCTGGCCATCAACGGCATAGACGTGAACGGCAAGTACACGGCCGACGGGAAAGAGGTGCTGGAGTATCTGGGTAACCCTGCTAATTACCCGGTGTCCATTAGATTCGGCCGTCCCCGTCTCACCTCCAACGAGAAACTCATGCTGGCCTCCATGTTCCACTCGTAAGTACCCCCAGTGCTTCTTAGTGCAGTTGGCCTGCACCTGCTCTAGGATGGGTGGGTTGGCGGTTCTGTGGGCACTTTCCTGGGAGCAGTGCTAATCTTTCTATAAAGTGACCGGTTCTTGTATTATGAATAGAAAAACAACTGAGCCAGTATGTCTTAAGTTTTAGGTAATACCAAAAGTGGTGTGATTTTCCCTGAGCAGCTTCTCTTCTTCTGAGCCTTAGTTTTTTCATCTTTAAGACACTTGAACTAAAATTACCTTTAAAAATCCTTTCTTGCCCTCAACTGTGATATGAGAGGTGCTGGTAAAGGCCTACCATAAACTACGTAAGCACGCACATATTCCCCAAAGTGTACATATTACTCAGAAGTTTTCATAGTGACATGTTTTGTAGCAAAATAGGAAGTAAAGTACATTGTGTGGTAAAATATATGCTGAAGCCAAATGACCTTAAAAGAAATTGTGACATTGCTGCCCAGCAGTTCATACTACCTCTCTTAACTGCCTCAGGCTGAAAAGCAGGTAGAGTCACCTGGGTGACCACTGGAGTGCATTCCCAACTTTCCTCCTTTGCATGCAGGCTCTTTGCCATTGGCTCCCAGCTGTCTCCTGAACAAGGAAGCTCAGGCATTGAAATGCTGGAGACTGACACATTCAAACTGCACTGCTTCCAGACACTGACAGGTGTGTTTCCAGATAGGCCAAAGGGATAGATGGGGCATGCTGGACCAAAGACAGCTTTGATAAGGAAGGAGGGGAGGGGTGCCAGGTTATCCTGGGACAATTAAACAGATACCTCTATTTATTTTGTGAATCCAAAGCCAATATTTAATCTGAAGCTGATTTTGTTCATGCTCAGCCCTGGTTATCCTGGGTTGGATAAGTCATTTTTTTTGGGGGGGGGGTTGTACTGGGGTTTGAACTCATGGTTTCATGCTTGCTAGGCAGGCTGGGCAGGTGCTGTACTGGTTGAGCCATTCTACCAGCCCTAACATTCACCTACATGTTTTGTTACTCATATTTGGAAGGTATAAGTGTTGTTCCAAAATGAAATTTGAAAGCCAAATGAAAATGGCCTTTGGATTGTGTCAATACTTCACTCCCTTAATGCAGATAATTGAAAACTGCCTGAGTTTGTCCTCTGCTTGGCACTGTTTCTGCTGAGGGATTCCAAGTCTTGAAGTAAGTGGCAGAGCTAGAACTGAAAGCCTTGTCTCAGCCTGGGTGACATAATAGTCACTTCCATTTCTTTGGCCCCTTTCTATAGATTTTGCTTTATGCAGCAGTAAGGATAAAATAAAAACTGGGCTTATGATCGTACTCTACAAAATTGAAAGAGCTGTAAAAATACAAAGTGACATTACTTGTGTTCTCTACCCTTGGTAACCATTCCTGGCTTCTCTCCAGGGATCAAGTTTGTGGTGCTGGCAGATCCTAGGCAAGCTGGAATAGATTCTCTTCTCCGAAAAATTTATGAGATTTACTCGGACTTTGCCCTCAAGAATCCATTCTATTCCTTGGAAATGCCTATCAGGTAGGTGGTTCATTTCCCAGATCCTGGTCAAAGCCTTGGGCTCTCCCCAAAGTCATTTGAAGTGTAACAGAGTGTTACTTTTAAAGAAGACAAGTGACTGGCCCTTCATTTTGAGAATCCAAAGACTTTTCTTGGGATTCACATCCTTCAAGTAGTGTTTGCACTCACTGTGGCTTTACACCCAAAGTAGGAAGAGAGCCTCACACATTTTTGTCTCCTGGCCTAGATGTGAGCTGTTTGATCAAAACCTGAAGTTAGCTCTGGAGGTGGCAGAAAAGGCTGGAACTTTTGGACCTGGGTCATAAACTGAACCTGCCATGGACTCCCAAATGAGAGCTCCTGTAGCAGGGGTTCTGCTGTTTCCACTCCAGGAGGGATCTGTTGCAGCAGCCTTGACATGCACTTGAAAATGACAGAACACTGAGCCTGATGACAATAGTGATCCCTAAGCTGGAATGCTATGCTCTCTTCCCCTCAGTATATATCATGGTGCTGCTTCCCACTCTGTACAGATTTATTTATGAAGGAGGTAGGCCTGTGAATGCTGTAATTAAACATTCCTTTGTTCCAGTGTTTGCTGTCCTAACCAATGGTTTGGGGCAAAAGGCATGGAAGGGGAGATAGAAATGGTAAGGGAGCCAGGTGTGGTGGGACATACTGTAATCACAACTACTTGGGAGGCATCAGTAATGGATCATAGTTCAAAGCTACTAGCCCCAAGCAAAAATGGAAGGCAAGACCCTGTCCAAAAAAAATTAACTAAAAAAAAGAAAAGAAAAGCAATGGCAAGATGAGAGACTACATTCTGGTAGAATTTAAGTATGCGTTCATTAAATAAATGGCATTCTGTTTTGAACCATGAGCCTTGGATCTAGTGCCCGAATTGCTATTTGACTTGCTGGGGGCCTGAGATTGTGGTAGTGATGGTGATGGAACATTTACCAGGCACTTAGAGCCAGGCTTTATTACTTAGCTCACTTAATCTGCTCCCTAACCTAGGGGTACATTCTATTACAATATTTACAAAATATTTACAAAAATCTTTGTGCCTCGTGTTCAAGCTGGTTACTGACAGCCTGAGTTTGGACCCATGCTTTCTGATCATGTATTTATCATTGAGCCATTGTCATACTGTCTCCTCCATTGAGTTATTTAACCTACTTACAATCCAGGAGCTTTGTCTCTAAAATTACCACTGAAGTATAGTGTTCAACTGAAGGCAAAGGAGGCATACACTTAAATGCTCCATCTACACTTCACCTTTCCCACTCCAAGGAAATGAAGTCTTTTCTGGTTGAGGTGGAAGTATTAGGTATTGACAAGAGTAATTTCCTAAGGAAAGCTGTCTCTAGCTTATGTTACCCTTTTGAAAGAATGAGTCACTGAATGTTTAGTATCAAATCTAGTTTTAATCTTCTATAACAACTCATCTTAGCCATCCCTCCAGTTCCCTACTGTCCAGAGTATTGGTGAGAGTGGTGGCCTCCTCTCCCCTAAGAGACTGAGGTATTTGTATTAGCTTTGCTCACTGTGAAGAGGCCTTAAGGCAGAGCAGAAGTTACAGGCCATTAGTGCCCCACAGCAGCAGGAACAGCATTATCTCAGGTGGGAGTCGGTAGGATGGGGACAAGAGAAAAAGAAGGGTACAGGAGGCCACCTGACTGCAGGAGTTTCTGTTCATTTGAAGGCAGGAAATAGGAGCTAATGGAGTCCAAGAACAAAAGCGATTGTTTAAATAGAATGTAGGGTAAGGAGCTGGAACCTCATCCTAGTTATGATGAAGTTACCAGTGGCTAGAACCTCATCTTAGTTATGATATCACCTGGGTGAAGGAACAGTGCAGATACAGAAAGGCCAAGGTTCCAGTTGAAGGTTCTGTGCTAGCAGGAGCAGCCTCCAACCTTTCTGCACTGCACCATCTGCAGGTAAAGGCCACAGGTAGGAGTGCTCCAGAGCTGGCTGATACTCTTCATTCAGCTTTCTTGGGTACTCGACCCATCTTAGTTCGGATGTTTCGGAGCAGGAAGAAGGCAGCTGTGCTGGCTGCACAGATCACCTCAGCCACCCAGAATGCTGTGCTCCAACTGTAGTGCTTGGCAATGGTGCTGAAGGGCAGCCCGGCCAGAAAGCCGCCCACTGTCAGGGAGGAAAAGAAAAGCCTGAGCCATTTGTGAGGGTAAAGCTGGTGGGCTCACTCCTGCCTCTAGCAGGCCTTTGTACAAGACACAGTAGGGGCAAGACAGCTATTCTAGGTGGTAGTACTTACCATTGGCCATGAGTCCCACAATGGCATGAGAGGTGCCGCACAAGTTGGGAGGGGCACTCTCATTGGCTATGACTCCAAACAAGGCAATGGGACCATACGAGGAGAAACCAAACACAGCTCCCAACACCAGGATCCAGATCTGCAAGGGCAGAGTACAGGGTGGCATTCAGAGTCAGCTACCTAGCTACCCACCACTGCCAGAGGAGAGAAGGTGCTAGGCCCAGAAACAAACAGTAATAAAGGGACAGTAAGTGACCCTCCTCACTCCACTCCCCAGTACAACTGACAATACAGAGCCAAAGTAGCAGATGCCACAATCCAAGGGCCTAGGTGGGCAAGAAAAGGAGGTACAGAAATCATCTGTGTTGGATATTAGCTCTTTCACAATTTGTGCAAGCTAGGTTGGCTGGGGCAAGGCAGAGGGATAGGACAAAGAGGAGAGACCAGAAGAAAAACCAGAGATAACTTTAAGGCACCTCATGTTCTGTAAAGCCTGTGAGTTCAGCGAGAGGATGAAGAGCCGGAGTCCAGAAAGCAACATCCTAGAGGAGCAGAAGGAAGAGAAGAAAACAGGCCCAGAGTGGATGGGGGAAACCAAAGTACAGAGGAGAGGAAGTAAGAAGCAAACAAAACTGAAAACAGAAACCTGAAAGGCAGAGGAGGGCCAGCCCAGGCTGGAAGAGGGAAACAGTCACAATGGCCCTTGTTTTGTCTCCTTCCGCCCTGCCCTTGGCCAGGCTCTCCATATTTACCTTTGGGGAGTCACTGTTCACTGTTACCCGGAAGAGATACATGGATGCCGTCATGCCAGCCATCATGAACAGCAACAGGCCATGGCGAGGGTTCCCGTAGACAGACAGCCCCACCTATGGACACAGTCCCAGCAACATCAAGCTCTCAGAGCACCCCCACCCCTGGACTCTGACACAGTAGGGCCACTGTTGACAGGTCTTTGGCAATCCCATTACAGTTCTTGGCCCCAGGTGGTTCTGGGAGGCCCTGGGACATGCTCATGTCTGAGGCCAAATTCCACAACATCCCTTCCTCCACCATGGGGCAGGCGTGGAACACGTGCTGGGAGGCTGTACCCAGTCCATCCCCACCCCCAGTTTTCCTGTGACATTGGCTCAGAGAGATTGTGGTTCTCCCTGACATCAGTTAAACCCTTTCCCTAATAGACTTATCTCTGCATCCTCATGGAAGGTAAAAAGAACTTGGAACCACTCCCACCTCATCAACCTAAACCAGCTATCCCAACCAGCCTGTGGGCCAGGACTCCCATCTCTCCAGTGCTTATCCCAGCTATTCAGGGAAGACTCAAAGTGCCTTCTTTCAGGTCCATTCTGCCCACTCACCTTGGCCATGGCTCGGTCTGACAGGTAGCCAGCTGCAATGCTACCTACAAGGCCCCCAATCTCCAGGGCACTCATGTAGGAGCTACCTGCAGTGGGGAGTTGTGGTGGAAAGAAGGGAGGAGAAGGATGAAAGGGCGTTACATGTTGGAGTTGTCTCATGATACCTTAAATCCAGAACTATGGAAAGGCAATCCCAAGAGTACCCAGCTTCAGGGAAAGACTACAGAGCCTGGATTTCCCACTCCCTGTATTGGATTCTGCTCCTTATGCCCACCCCTATCCCAACACTCATCTTACCCACGAGGGCAGACTGTCCTTTCTCCTGGATAAGGAAGAACTGGCCCCAGTCTGTACAGCAGGTCTTTACTCCAAAAACCACAAGGTAGCCGGTGGAGAGGACCCACAGGTAGGGAGATAGCAGCAGCTCCTGTAGGGTACTCTCCTCTTTTGAGGAGCCTGGAGGTGGGAAGAGGCCAAGTGGGCCTCAGGCTTCTTGGGTTTTTTTAAATTTTGTTTTTTTTTTTTTTTTTGACACAGGGTCTTGCTGTGTAGCCCAGGCTGGCCTTAAACTTGCCATCCTCCTGCCTCTGCCACCCACGTACTGGGACTGAAGTGTACCAACACACCTGTCTCCAGGCTTTGCTCTTGCTGCCCTACTCCCACTGCACCCCCACCATTCATTAACCACTGCCAGGGACAAAGTCCATGGCACAGCCCAGGGCCTGTGTGAAGGGTGTCCCCTTAAACCCCTGTTCTCCTCTCCCCTGCTCTGCAGCAAGCCTCAATCAATGAAAGAGAAACTGAGGCAGTTTAAGGGCAGATGGAGGAACCAAGCCCAAACCACTTAAACTTAAGATGCTATCCAACATGGGTAAGTCTGTGCTGCCGTGAGAAGGACCAGGATATAACATGAGTCACAGCATCTGCAGCACCTGTTGGCTCTAACTCTCAGGATGCAATTTTACTTATTCCCCAGCTGACCTGCATTACCACCCACCCCTTCCCCTACATCCACTGAGTAGCACAAGACAAAGCCTAAGGCTAATAGTACTCAGCAAAATTCTGCCAAGTGAAGGTGCTCCAGTGGTTGGCTTGGGTGAAGGCTTACCCTTCTTGCCCTTGGAGGGGACAGGGTCCAGGTTTCGGAGTCCAACATCACCAGGTTCGTTGTGAATAAGCAGCAGACAGAGGAAGGAGACAACCACACAGATTGCTCCAGATATGGCCAGTGTGCTGCGCCAGCTATAGTTCTGGGCGAGGATGGTTGCCAGGATAGGGCCCAGCCCTCCAGCCAGGTTCATGCTGGTTGACAGGATGGCCCACCAAGTGCCAAACTGGGATGGCTCAAACCACTGTGAGGCAGAGGGGGACAGAGTAGGTGCCTGGCCTATAGCCCTATAGGGAGGGGCTCAGGTGAGGCAGAGGGTGCTTCTACTTGGCAGGACCAATTCCCTCATCTGCCACCTGACCCCACCACTCTCAGGCTCCTAAAATATCTTGACAAGCAACAGGAGCTGGCTGGGAACTCCTGAGGAATTTGCTGTGGGTCAGGGTAGATGGGGTGGACAAGGGGTATTCCTACATGCTTGTTAGGTACCCTCTATGCCAATCCACAACAAGGTTGTTGGACGCACTCACCTTCCGCAGGATCTTCCCACAGGGGGGCCAGCCCAGCCCCTGTGCCAGACCATTAAGGAACCAGAGAGCGGCAAAGACCGATACAGTGGAGCTCCAGGAAAAGATTACATTGACCAGGCCAACCAGGAGCAGCCCAGAAGAGAAGAGCCAGCGAGCACTCATTTGGTCGGACAGCACCCCACTCACAAACTTGCTGATGGCATAGGCTGCTGACTGGCTGCTGGTGATGAGCCCTGCAGCAGAGAGGAGCAGGGAGCAGGACACCTGAGGGGTTAGGGCAGGGCAGAGGCACAGGATGGGTGAAGGAAGGCAAGGGGTCAGGTGTGTAGAGGTGCCTGGCAGGTTGAGTGAGACAGGAGGACCTGTGCTATAGTCTTTATACCCATGGGACCTGCTGCCCCCTACCTCTCCTGTCTACCCATCATCTGTACTAGCTCCAGGCTGATCTGTGACTTTTTAGCCTCTTGAAGAGTTCAGCCCTCGGAACAAGAAGGGAGCAGCTCCTCTCCCTGGGGTTTGCATATGTCTGGTTTCCCACCTCTCCCTGGATGCCAACCCAAGTCCTCTAGCAGTTGTTGTCCCATCACTGGATGGGATGAAGGGCTCAGGATTGGGCAGAGACCTTGTTGCTCTTGGAAAGAGCATGCCAGGTCACATGAAATCATTGTGCCAACTTCCCAGTGCTCAATGTCATGAGTCAGCACTCACCTGCACCCACCCAGGTGTGAAAACCTTGCTCATAACCCAACAAACACACTTGAGTATAAACAGTGTCTCCGAAGTCATCTGGGTCACAGGCATAAACACACCACAAACCAGATAGGCAGCCCTCCTCAGTCCTTCACCCACACCCATGCACATGGACTGCAAAGCCTTGTCATTTGACACCTGCTGACTAGCCACAATCCTGCTGTGCAGACCCTCCATGCATGCTACACTCCTGTACACACCACCCTGCTACAAACACTCAATCTGTTCTGCTAGCTCTGTATCCCCAGCCACCACCCTGCCCTTCCAGGGCTCACCCAGATCATCCTTGTCCAGAGGGATCTCTTCCACCAATGATGGCATGACAAAGGAGAAAGTCTTGCGGTTGTAGTAGTACAGGCTGTAGCCCCCAAACATGGCTGTGAAGATCACAGTGCGATAATAGCCATAGCCTTGGGCCGCCATGGTAGAACAGAGCCAGCCCTGCCAGCCAAGACACAGAGCTCTGACCACAACGACTCTGCTCCTGTTTGTAGCGCTGTCAGTGCCCAGATTTGCTGAGTTGAGTTTTTTCTGCTCCCTCCTCCACCCAGGCTCCCTTTATAGCCGCCTTCTGGACAATCATTAAGCCCCAGGCAGCTCCTAGGGAACCCAGTGTCCTGAGGGAGACAAGAAAACAGATTACTGAGAGCTAAACTGTGGGGGAGCTGGGGGGCCCAGAGGGAGGTATGTCTGTGAGCCAGGCCAGCACCATGTGTCCCCAGGATTTCTGCCTTTCCCTTTTTTTCCATGTCCTTCTGCCTGTGAAATGAGCTGTGATTAAAGGCTCAACCTAATTACTTTTGTCTGCATGAGCCCAGGGGAGGCAGGGGTAGGAAGAGCAGAGCTGCCCTTTATCTAGCCTTGCTCTTTCGTCCAGGAACCTTTCATTCACTTGGGGAAGGTTTGTGGAAGGCTTACTCGTTGCCTGACACAATAGGCTGCAAAAGGCAAGACTGCAATAAGCTAGATTCGTTTCTTCACTCAGTCTCTTCCTTTCAACCAAACACAAACCCCAACAACCCTATGTCAAAAGCCTTTCAGTGCTTAGCACACAATGGAGTGTAACCTTCCTGATACAGTAGACCCCCCCCTTTTATCCTGGTGGGGGACATATTTCAAGACCCCTATACATACCTATGAAAAAGTCTACCTTTTAAGTTAGGCACAGTAAGAGACTGACAATAAAACAATTATAACAATACTCTATAGTAAAAGTTATTTCAAGGACTGGTGGAGTGGCTCAAGCATTAAGAGAGGCTGCCTAGCAAGCGTGAGACCCTGAGTTCAAACACCAGTGCTGTCAAAAAGGAAAAAAATAAAGCTATTTCGAACCTATGAATTATTTCTGTAATTTTTCCGTTTAATATTTTCCCACTGTGCTTATCTCTTGGCCATGGTAACAAATACAGAAAGCAAACCATGGACAGGAGGGGACTCCAGTAGTTGCAGAATTTCAGCCGGGAGAATCTCCCAGTTCTCCCCACTGTGTCACGCAAAAAGCCCCACTAAGGGCTTGATGGGGGCCCCTCAGAACTGCCTCTGGGTCCCCATTACCCTGTGACGTCAGTGCGGGCTTCCGTCGGGCTGGGGTTTGCACGGGGTCAGGGTCGCCTGTGGGCGGGAAGGTGCACAGCGCGTTCGGGGCGGGAGTGTCGAGGCGCCCTGCTTCCCAGGGCCCAGATATGCGGCTTTTCCGCCCAGCTGGGCAGCAACTGGAGCAGAAGGCGTGGGCGCGAGCGAGCCGAGCCGGCGATCGCACGTAGTCTTCCGGCCCTTCGCTCCACCAGCCGGGGCTCGGCCTGGCAAGGCAGCCGCAGCCGGGCGGAGAGGGCAGAGATGGCGCGCTCGGCACCCGCCCAGCCCCGGTGTCCTCAAGCTACCCAAGACACCTGACTCTAGGCCCGGGAACCACGGGGCCCGGGTGCAGGAGAGAGGTGCAGGGAACACAGCCTGGCCATATAAAGGGAGGGCGCTGGCGCTTCCACGACCCCCAGACCCAGGTATTGCCCCTCAACCCGGAAGAGCAGCTGCAGGGATTCTCTCGCAAGTTAGTCTGCCAAAAATGGAGCCGCGAGACCTGCGACAGCCCCGCCCTCAGGTGATGCCCCTCCCCCACAGACCTCCCTACCTGGACGGAGGCGTGAGCCGGACTAGGACCGGGAGGGGCCAGGTCGGCGGGTGCTGCGCATGCGCCGAGGTGGGCGGGGCCTCCGTCTGTACCTTCGCGTGTGCGCGCGCGGAGCGGGCTCCCAGGGTCGTAGGCTTAATCTTGACGGTCGCGCTGCTCTTTGGAGGACAGCGTCCTTTAGGGGCCGGGTACCGTACGTACCTAACCGACTGAATTAGACGAGCCAGTTTCTAATGAGCGCCTCCCACTACCTAACACGCTGAATAGGGAAGGCAAAAATGATTGTTACCGGAGTTACAATCGGGGTCGTGTAGGAGAACAATGTTTTTCTGTAAGAAATTAATGTAATTTTTAGCACAACTTGAAATTTCAACTTGTAGTCAGACTTTCAGAAGCACAGATTTAAAAAAACTAATAACAGTATTTAAAGGACAGGGCCTCCCCCCCCCCGTCCCCTCGCCTCCCCTCCCCCTCTCCTCTCTAGGTCTTACTTTATAATTATGGGCAATCCGCAGTTTTTTACCAACCTCAGTGAAACCCTGGAGAGTAGGGCGCGGGTGGCTCACGCCTGTCATCTGAGCTACTCAGGGGGCAGAGATCAGGAGGATGGAGGTTTGAAGCCAGCCCTGACAAATAGTTCTCGAGCCCCTATCTCGAAAAAACCCATCACAAAAAAGGGCTGGTGGGAGTGGCTCAAGGTGAAGGCCCTGAGTTCAAGCCCCAGTACTGAAAAAAAAAAAAAGCCCTGGAGAAAAAGAGATCCCTGATATAAGAGCGTTCATTACACGTGCTGGCCAGAACTTTTTTTGTGTGTGTGGTACTGGGGTTTGAACTCAGGGCCTATACACTTGCTAGGCAGGTGCTCTACCACTTTGAGCCATTCTGCCAGCTCAAAAAGTCAGAATATTTTATAGTGAAAAGTTGGAGTAAAGAAAATCGTTTGCAGAAAAAAAACTACAGATAAGAGGCTCATGCCTGTAATCCTTGCTACTTAGGAGGCAGAGATCAGCCTTTAAAAGCCAGCCTGGGCAAATAGTTCCTGAGACCCTATCTTGGAAAAAAAAAACATCACAAAACAGGGCTGGTGGAGTGGCTCAAGGTGTAAGCCCTGAGTTCAAGCCCCAGTACTGAAAAAAAAAAAAAATATATATATATATATATATATATATATATGAGAACTCAAAATTTTGAAATAGGACGATCTACAAAGAAGTACTAGTTTACCTTCTAGATTGGTTGTAGCAGACATCAGATTGTGCCCTGCTAGGGATGGAACCCAGGGCCTCACATATGGTAGGCAAACTCTACCACTGAGCTGCATCCCCTGCTCTGTCTGGAAGTTTTGAGTCAAGGTTTCAACTTCTTTTCAAGAATGTGGAGCTATTTGTTGTTGTTTCAGCTGATTAACTTCTTTTATCTCTCCTCTCCTCCATCCTCCTGCCTTTGTAGTTAAATTTAGGACATCTCAGAAATTTTATCACATCAATCCCACAGAAGAATGGCTAAAGAATTACAAGTGTTCCAAAATTGGAACTTGGGAAGGCAGGAAGGGGAGATGAGCTAAAAAGGGACCAGAGGGTGGCTGAACACTAATTCAACTGGTGCCTAGGAGCAGAGGCCTAGTATGTAGCTCGCATTGTGCTCTCAGCTAGGTAGATGGGAGGACCAGAACAGTTTCTCCAAAAGCAAACTAGATTCCCCAGCATGGGGGAGAAGGGAGTAAGTAAACTGTAGCAAAGAATTCCCACTTTACCTAAGAAATGTGGGAAACCATTACCTGTTACCTTTTCTTTTTTATAATCCAGCTTTACAGTCTTTTGTGACTTTATTTTTTATTAGCATAAATTAAATGTACAAAGGGTTTTGTTTTGTTTTCCTTTTTTCTTTTAAACTATTTGGTTTTGTTTTGTTTTTTGTGGCACTGGGGTCTGAACTCAGTGCCTTACACTTGCTGTATGTAATGTACCTTGTTCAAATTCGCCCATTACTCTTTTTCCCTATCCTTCCTCCTACCCCCTTTCATGACTAATTTTCTCTCCCCCCATACAGATGCACAGATGACACGCAAAGGAGTTTCAGGTGTTCAGGGTTCTTGAGCCCGCTCTGAGAATGAAAGCTCAGGCAGACTCCACTCCAAAAGATTTTATTTGTAGAGAAGAGAAGAGAAAGACTGCATGGTGGGGATTGGGCTTTATAGCCTTTTTTTGTGTGTATTGCCTGAGGGCGGAGATGCCTTTCAGATGCAGATGGGCGGTTCCTGGGGAGAAGTGCAGTCTGTCCTTGAATAACCCCCCTTTTTTTGATAGTACTGGGGTTTGAACTCAGGGCCTCACCCTTGCTAAGCAGGTACTCTACCACTTGAGCCACTCTGCTAGACCTCTTTCATGTTGGGTATTTTGGAGATAGGGTCTCGAGAACTATTTGCCCTGGCTGGCTTTGAATTGGATCCTACTGATCTCTGCCTCCTGAGTAACTATTGTAACAGGCACAAGCCACTGGTGCCTGGCTTTCTCTCCTCTCTCTCCCTCTCTGCTTCCCTCCTCCTTGTTTGTTGAGACAATGTGACCCTGTGTAACCAAGGCTAGCCTCAAACTTTGCAGTCCTCCTGCCTGAGCCTCCCAAGTGCTGGGATTATATACATGCACCACCATGCATAAGTGACTTTAGTATTTTCCAAGACTCCAAGTCAGTTGTTTTGCAGAATGTCCCTCAATATAGATTTGTCTGATTTTTTTTTTGGTGGACTGGGGTTCGAACTCAGAGCTTCATGCTTGCAAAGCAGGTGCTCTACCACGTGAGCCACACCTCCAGTCCGTATTTGTCTGATTTTTTTTTTTCCAACTAGGATCAGGACAGACAATTTGGCAGAAATACTGTACAGATGATGATATTTTTAGTGAACTAGGAGGCATGTGGCAAGTTTGGTCCCTTTGGTTAAAATGATATGCACCTGATTTCTACATTGTAAAGCTACTTTTTCCTCTTTGTAATTAATAAGAAACCTATGGGACTATACTTTTTGATAGTACTGGGGCTTGAACTCAGGACCTTCACCTTGAGCCACTCCACCAGCCCTATTTTTGTGAAGGGTTTTTTGAGATAAGGTCTCATGGAACTGTTTGCCCAGGCTGGCTTGGAACCTCGATCCTCCTGATCTCTGCCTCCTGAGCAGGTAGGATTATAGGTGTGAGGCACTGGCACCTGGCTGGGGCTATGATATTGCATAAGTATCCTGTTCCAATGCTCTTTCAATGATTTTTTTTTTTGGCAGTACCAGGGTTTGAACTTAGGTACTAGGGTTCCTCACAATTGCTAGGAAGATGCTCTACCACTTGAGAAGAAATGATAGATGTTAAAACCATCAGTGTAGCCAGGCACCACTAGCTCAAACCTGTAATCTTGGCTACTCGGGAGGTAGAGATCGGGAGAATTGTGGTTCAGGGACAGCCCAGGCAAAAAGTTCCCCATCTTTCAGAGCAAAATGGACTGGAGGTGTGGCTCAAGCAGTAGAGCACCTGTATTAATTGGTATTCTTCTGCAAAGAGCTTGTCCCTCTAGTAACAACAACAAAACAAACAAAAAAAGAGCTTGTCCTTCTTCCCTTCTCTTTTGAAAAAGGTTAGTATCTGTGGGTTCCTGGAGTTTTACTTAAATGTATTGCGCCTATCATTATCTGTTAGTGCTCAAACTGTCCCATGTTTGCCCACTAGGAGTGCCAGTTATGTTGACCTCTCTAGCGTTTTTCATTGTTAAAGTTCTACACTACCATTACATTTGGAACGGACCAGGTGCAGGTGGTGGCTCACACCTGTAATCCTAGCTACTTGAGAGGCAGAGATCAGTTGGAGGCCAGTCGGGGCAAATAGTTCTCAAGACTCCATCTGCAAAAAACCACCAGAGCAAAATAGACTGGAGGTGTGGTCCAAGCAGAAGAGTGCCTGCTTTGCAAGTGTGAGGAGGCCCTGAGTTCAAACTCCAGTCCCACCAAAAAAAAACAAAAAAAAAAAAAACAAAAAACAAAGACTGAGAAGTTTTAAATAACAAGTGGAGATTGCTTTTTAATATTGTGTTTTTACTTTTTTCTGTATACATTTGTGTGTGTACATGTAGACAGATAAATGTGTCTATGTTAAAATATACATAGAAACTTTTCCAATTAGGTTGAAATTGTCCATGTAAAACTTGTCAGCCTCCCCACCAAGAAAAGACTGTCTCTTTTCCACTCTACCCAGTGGTGTGGTACAGAACACCCTATAAACTATAAAGCAATCAGTCACACCTTTTTTTTTTTTTTTTTGCAGTGCTGGTGTTTCAACTCAGGGCCCATGCCCTGAGCCACTCCACCAGCCCCTTCTTGTGAGGGTTTTTGGAGATAGGGTCTCAGGAACTATTTGCCCAGGCTGGCTTCAAACCAAAATCCTCCTGATCTCTGCCTCCTGAGTAGCTAGGATTACAGGCATGAACCACTGGCACCTGGCATTCTGCATCCTCTTTTGCTCTCTTTAAATCAAGCCAATTTTAATTATCTTTTCAAGGAACTTTTTTTTGGTTTCATTTATCTGTAATCTTAATTTCCCTCCTATTAATTTGTACTTTGCTTTTACTAGTTTTTTTTTTTTTTTCCTAGTTCTTTAAGGTGTGGATTTATGTCATTGAGATACTTTTTTTTTTTTTTTGGCAGCACTGGGGCTTGAACTCAGGGCCTCATGCTTGCTAGGAACGCACTCTACCACTTGAGCCGCTCTGCCAGCAAGATGCTTACATTTAAAAAAGAAGTATTTGCTGTTTTCCTCTGGACAGTTTTCACTGAATTCTGTAAGTTTTGTCATGGAGCGCATGTGTGTATGATTAAAAATATATATAATTTTAAGTAATTTATATTGATACTTATAAATTATATACATGTCTATATACTCCTGGGTTCAATCAATCCTCCTGCCTCAGCCTCCCCAGAAGCTTGGGTCTATTGATCTACAGGTGTGTGCACCACTGTGTCCAGCAAAAAAAAAAATTGCATTTTTAGGTTCACAGCAAAATTGATTAGAGACCAGGAGGATCTCAGTTAGGAGCCAGCCAATGGATTCTATCTCGAAAATACCCAACACAGAAAAGGACTAGTGAAGTGGCTCAAGTGATAAGAGCGCCTGCCTAGCAATCATGAGGCCAAGTTCAAATCCTAGTACCAAAAATGGGAAAAAAAAAAAAAAAGTACAAAGATCTCCACAATTCTTGCCTGGCACTGGTGGGTCACACCTGTAATCCTAGCTACTCAGGAGGCATAGATCAGGAGAGTCACAGTTTGAAGCTGACCCAGGCAGTTCAGGAGACCCTGTCTCAGAAAAAAACCCAAAAAGGGCTGAAGTGGCCTAAAGGTATAGGCCCTGAGTTCAAACTCCAGTACCAAAGACAAAAAGGCCAGGTGCTAGTGGTTTATACCAATAATCCTAAACTACGTGGGAAGCTAAGATCAGGATTGTGGGTTCTAGGCTGGCTTGGTCGAAAAGTTCATAAGACGCCACTTAAATCAATAAAAGCTGGGAGCAAAGTGGAGGGTGGCCCAAACAATGTATACATGTGAGTAAATGTAAAAATGATAAAAATAAAAAATAAAAGCTGGGCACAATGGCATATCCTTCCATTATAGGAAACATAAATGGGAAGATCATGGTGCAGGCCAGCTGGGCAAAAAGTGAGATCCCAATTCAAAAATAACCAGAACAAAAAGAGCCTGAGGCCCAAGTGGTAGAGCAGCCACCTAGCAAGCACAAAACCCTGAGTTCAACCCCAGTTCTGGGCGGGCATGGGGGGGGGGGGTGGAAAGAAGAAAAAAAACCCAAAAAACTTCCACTTTCAAAACTTGTGTCATTTGTCCAGTCTTCAGAGAGAAAACAAATCTTTATGGTCATTAAGAATATATTCAGCTGTTTAGACATGTGAATGCTTAGTGGCAAGAGGTACCCTCCTTTGGTAAAATACAGCTCAACTTCAATTGATGAATAACCCAAATCAACTGTGCTAAAATAGTGCCTCTCTCCCCCTAGAGGAGAAAAGCAAGGATAAGGGGTCAGAATGAATTTCAGATCCAAGCTGAAGTATTCAACAGATTCCTTGGACCAATTACTGAACCTCTATGAACTGTTAATTTCTTTTTTGTAAACTGGTGTTACCTTTAAAACTGGAGGTGGCCTGTAGTCCCAGTCCCAGCTACTCAGAAGGCTGAGGTAGAAGGCTGCTTTGAGCCCAGGAGTTGGAAACCAGACTGGGCAATACAGACCCCACCTCAAAAAAAAAAAAAAAAAAAAAAGTACAAATAAAACCAATTATTTTGTGTCCATAAAAAAATTACATCTACAAATTTCAACTAAGTTCAAAATGTTAATCTTTTGGTGGTAGTATTAAAGGCAATTTTATTCTATAAATTTCTTTCAAATACTAAACATGTATCACTTAAGCCCCAAGAAATACATTTTTAAAAAAACTGAAGCACAAAACTGTAGAAAAGAATATTTTATTGAAACAGTTTCTCAATTAACATGGAGCAAAGTATAATTTGATTCAAACCTGTCCAACCAGCCTCAGCTGCTGATGAAAGAACTCAAACATACAGAAGGGGCTGGGACCTTTAGGTCCCTCTCTGCCAATGTGGCAAAACAAAAAGGAGGGGGAAATGAGAAAGAAAAAAAAGACAAAATGACTGACACAACCAGGTTTTCCTTTGTCCTGGAGAGGGGACAGCAGCCCTAGCTCCTGCCACAGACACAATACTGGAGGACAGGTCCCTAGGCATCAGCAGAGTCAGTGAGGGGCTCCCTATCCTAGCAGAGCAATGTACACAAGGAAGGCCATCCCTGACCCTCTTCCCTTACTCACAAAGCCTGCCTCAGAGGTGGCGGCATTTTTACATTCACACCATGGTCTCTCATCCCCCAGGGTCTTGGGATAGGGGCTCACAGTAGAAAGCACATTTTGGTCAGTCCAGGGCGGGGAGGGGATAAGGGAAAGGCTTTATTTGGGAAGGGAAGAACAGCAGGTCAGGGAGCAGATAGTCTCAGGAACCTGGGGTACCCAGCTACTGGGAAGATAAGGGTTTTGAGTGCCTGCAGGATACTGGCATCCTTACTAACTGCATTACATGGCTTTCCTGGCCCCAACAGCCCACATGTGGGTGCTCCAGGACTTTTACACACCTCACTCTGCAGAGGGCAATGTGAATTCCCTTCTTATTTTCTCCCTGTTTGTTCTGGCCACTAGGGGTCGCATGGGCCAGTGGGAACACTAGATTTACTAGAGCCAATGCAGATAGAAAGCTTTGGGTATGAGGCAGAGAATTGCCCACCAGCACCAGGAAGCCAAAGAACCCAGTGAAAAGAAGAGGCAGGTGTTAGGAAACAGAAGGCCTTGGAAGGAAAAGAGAGCAGAGAGAGGCACTCAGAGACCAAAGCTGGTGACCGAGGCTCTGTAGACACTGGCCAGAATGGGATATTGATTTTGTGGTAGAAGAGGAAAGGAGGATGCCCAGAGAAGATGGGACACTCTCCAGTGTCCCAGGGACATCCTTCCCCAGTACCAGTCTCCCTCAACCACTGGCAGTCATTCTCTCACCTACCCACAGAAAAGGATTAAGACAGAATAGTGATTTTTCCCAAATGCAGGGTTAGATGGGCAGGGAGCAAGAGGTGGGGCTGGGGAACAGAACAAGTTCAGGTTTTAACCACAGTACTACTCCAGAAAGAACTGGTGAACAGCCCCCCTCCTGCTCCAGGTGAGAGAAGGAATTTGAGACCCTGCAGGCAGGACCAACCCCTGCCCCCACCCCGATGTGTAATAAATAGAGGTGGTAGGAGAAGGGGCTGGAGGTGAGTGGGGACGAGTAGGGAGATGGGAGGTGAGGGTTATAGCTCATCATTCTTCAAAGGCTGCTTCTGTCCTGCTGGCTGTTCCTTCTGTTCCGATTCTGTTGGGAGGAGGGGAAAGCAAAGTGAGGACAGTGGTGAAACAGAAGTAAGCAGCCCCAATTCTTTTCAGATATTTTCCCTCAATCCTACCAGCACACCTGGATCCACCCTCACCTGCTTCAGGACCTCCTAACTCCAGAGGTTCAGTGTCTATTGGCTCAGAGCCTGTGTTTTAGAAGGAATAAGTAAGTTAGTCTCTGAAGAAAGGAAGGAAAAGCTAATAGAGGACTTGCAAACTATTTCTATAAAGAGCTAGCTAGTAAATATTTTAGGATGTGTGGGCCACATTTGGTCTCTTTGCTTTTTTTTTTTAAATGACACTTTAAGAAAGTAAAGGATAGGCAGGGAGTCAGTGGCTCACGCCTGTAATCCTAGCTACTCAGGAGGCAGAGATCAGGAGGATCACAGTTCAAAGCCAGCGCGGGCATATATTCTCAAGATCCTATCTCGAAACAAACCCGTCACCAAAAAGGGCTGGTAAGAGTGAGTAGCTCATGGTGTAGGCCCTGAGTTCACACCCCAGTAAACCCACCTCCCACCCCCCAAAAAAAGGACCCTATCTCAACCAACTAACATCTGGGCATGTTGGTATACATCTGTCATCCCAGCTACACAGGAGACTTAAATAGGAAGATTGTGGTTCAGGCCAGCAAGGCATAAAAGTGAGACCCTATATAAAAAATAACTACAGCAAAAGGGCTAGTAGTTTAAGTAGCAGAGTGCCTGTCTAAGCAAGCACAAGGTCCTAAGTTCAAACCCCACTACTGCCAAACCTTCCCCTCCCTTCCTACCCCCCTTAAAAAAAATAAAATAAAGGGCTGGGGAAGTAGCTCAATGGTAGAATGCTTGGCTAACATATGCAATGTCCTGAATTAAATATACCCCCCCCACACACAAAACAAACAAGTAAAGGCCATCCACCGTTCATGAGCCATTCAGAAACATGCCTACGCCTGCCAATTTGCCTACCCCAGGCTAATGAAATGTCCTGTTCCCAACCATGGTTTCCCTAACTCACCAGTCTCTACTTTCTCAGGTTCTGAAATGGGCTGTGCCTCTTCAGTCTGGCCTGGAGGGAAAGCAGAAGATAGATGCAGCCTCAGGAGGAAATGGAGGCCTTCTCCCTGTTCCTTGGAATCTGAAGCCCAGCACCTACCCTCACCTGCTGGTGGGATGATCTTCTCCCCCTGGTCAGTGGCACTGGCATTGAGGGGAGGCTCTGTCCGGGTGCCATTCTTATCCTTGGGACGGGCCCGGGGTTTGGCAAACTTGGCCTTATTGAGCAGATACTGCACCTCCCGGTCCAGGGACATCATCTTGGCCTCAATGTCTTTTGAGAGCAACACAGGCTTCTCTGTGGCAGGAAGCTTGGCCTGCTCAGCCACAGTTGCATTCTTCCAGGCCTGTGGGTGACACCGGGTCAGGCTCAGAGACAACCATATAGAGAAGAAATGTCTGCCTAAGGGGAAACCGCACCCCTAATCAGCCTCAGGCTACTCCTACGGATTGCAAACCATCCTGCCACCCTTGGCACTGCCTTCATTTAGACAGTAACATGCCCAGTTACATTCACACAGTATTACCCAGGTCTCATTGATAACTTTCTCTAACGTTGTCATCTCCACCTCAGTGAAGATCTGGTCCATCTCTGGGATGAGCCGGGCACCCCTGGAAGAGAAAGAGACAATCAGCCCAGTGACACAGGGGCCCTGATTGTAGGGAATGGGAAGTTAACAAGCATGAGAGTCGTGACCTTGGCAGGCCTGGATAGAGAAAAGGCACAGAGGCCACTCACTTAAGGAATATGCTTGAGTGGTTGAGGAGATTGTCTAGGGCAGACAGCCGTTCAGGCCATTTCTTGCGTTCTTCCACCCGAAAAAACAGCCCTTGGCACAGCTTCCTCAGCTCAGCCAACTTCTCCTTCAACATCTGATGGACATGGGGGTGGGCAGAGGGGTTGAAGGGATGACAAGAGAGCCCTGGAGTTTGGAGTCAGTCCAGCTTCAGCATCCTTTTTTTTAGTGGTACTGGGGTTTGAACTCAGAGCAGTGTGCTTGCTAGGCAGGCGCTCTACCACATTAGCTACACCCAGCCCTCCAGCATCCCTCCTTATGGTCTCACACCCTAGCTCTTCTTTGATCCTGGGAGAGGAAGGTAAAAGATCCTATCACCCCATTATATCCTGGGAGGTCTCTTACCACAGTGGTGGCCTCAAAACCCTCATCCTCCAGCCAGGTGGCCACAGTGCTGAGTTTCTGAGAGATCTCCTCACGTTGTTCCTCAGTGGACACTTCCTGGTACTCAAGCTGGTACAGTTTGTCCTAGGAAGGGACACAAATGCATACATGCAGTAAGCCCAAAGGCAAGGCTCAGAGCAAGACAGCCATAAATCAAGTCCAGAGGACAGGGAGTACTGCCCCCAGCTGACAACCTGGGTCTCAAAGATGAAAGCTTCTAAGCTGTTAGCAGCTTTCTCCCGTTCCTGCTTCTCTAGGTCTCGGAAAGTTAAGTCCTCAAGTCTGTAGTAAGGAAAAGCAGGGATGAGACAGAGGGTGGGTTGGAACTTAGACCCTCCCAGGCGCACTACTCCACACCCTGCCTGTTTTTCACAGTACACATAACTACTTACTTCTGCACTGAACGAGCCAGCTCATCCTCTGGCAAGTCAGGTAGGTCCAGAACAACTAGTTCTACCCCGATCTCCTCTACCATTCTCTGCTTCCGGGCAGGCTTCTGCTTCTTTTCTTCTTCGGGGGTTGGAGGAGCACCCTCAAGCCCTGCTTCCCCCTTCTCATTAGGCTTCTGGGTGTGAAGAGTTGAGGATGTCGGGAAAAGCCTTTGCTTTCTCTTTCTCCATAGGGCAAGAACAAAGCAGGCTCCCTCCACTCTCTTAGCCCCTGCCTTCAGTGTCCATGCTCTGCCCACAGCTCACCTGGTCCTCGGGCTTGTCCCTACTTTCTTTTTCAGTGGGCTTTTCTCCCTCAGGGGCTGTATCCCCCTTAGGCTCAAAGGGTGGAGGCTGAGAGGTATCTTCCACTGGGGACTCAGCTTCCTCCTTAAGCTCTGCCTGCTCCCCAGGTTCATCCTTGCTTCCCTCAGCAGGGCTCTCCTCTTCCTCCTAGAAGACAATTTCAGGCACTTCCAGACAATGCCACCAAAAATGTGTATCAACCAGGTTGGCCTGGTCACACCAGCTGCTATAATTAGAGGGGATCACCATTCATGGGGCACACAGATGACAGTTGTAGGGAAATGGTCAGGGTAGGTCTAGGTGGACAGACGAGAGCATCTGGAGAAAAGGGAAATGGGCTGAGGGCTCTGGTACAGAGGAGCATGAGGAAGGAGTGGTTAACCTGGTGAGGGCTGAAAGGGAGCATGGGGCTATCGAATCCCAGGCAGTCTGGGTAGCTGCAGCTACCTTCCCTCCATGCTCCCAAGCGTACCTGGATGACATCAGTACCATTCTCTTTGGCATCTGGTGTGGTACCACCTCCAAACAGGCTGGAAATGGTGTTGCCAAGTTCTAAGGGGAAGAAAGCCCAGACACTCAAAGAGGGACCAAGCAGTGACTCCACCTCCTGACCCAAGGGCAATGAATGCCCTTTCTGCCTCCTCAAATTCTGCACATGTATATTCTCTCCCATCACACACACATGCACACACACAGGTGCACATGTTCATCTTACTGGTCAGAGTAGATTCCTCCTCTGGGCTATCCTCCACCAGGGTCTCAAATACAGACTCGACCTGAAAATAGGTTCAAAATTAAAAACTACATACACTAAACCACAATTTCTACAAATACCTTGCTCATGCACGTTACATGACCTGCAGCTGTGCTGGCCTACTCTCTCGCCTGCCTTTTCTAAGGACTGCTTGGTTGGTCACCTACCCTCTTTGACTAGGAGCCAACCCTCTGAGAACAGAATCATATTCTCTTCTCCTCTCAGATTCTTCCATGTCTCCATTCAGTAATATAATGGTTCACCATTTCCCAAATGTGTGCAAGACATTAACCCAGAACTATTCTTTAAAAACGGGTTTTTCGGCCAAGCATCAATGGCTCACACCTGTAACCCTATCTACTTGGGAGGCTGAGAACAGGAGGATTAAGGTTCGAGGCCAGCCCAGGCAAATAGCTCACAAGACCCTATTTCCAAAATAACCAGAGCAAAATGGACTGGAGCTGTGGCTTAAGCAGTAGAGTTCCTGCTTTATAAGCATGAAGTCCTGAGTTCCAAACCCCAGTTCCACAGGAAAAAAAGAAAGGGGAGGGGGTTTCCTCAGCTGAACATGGTGATGCATGTCCAGCACTCACAATAAAGTATGAGGCCAACCTGACTTCACAGAAAGACTGCCTCAAAAAAAAAGGGAGGAGGAGTAAGGTCAACCATTCTACTATGCTATAGCTCCCTCTAAGAAGTTACAATGCCATAAGACCACCCACACCAGATCCCTGGTTAACTCTGTTTAGAGCCTAGACTGATCCTATTCTAAAACCCTTTGAGCTTATCCTGTGGAACCTGCTTTGGGAAAGAGTGACAGGGCCCAAACCCCTGCCCTGTACACAGGGTCTCCTTTTACTCTCACCCTATCTAGACTGAGCACGCCACTCTCATCCAGGTTGAAGTGTGCCTTGATGCCCTTGGACTCGTAGTCAGGATACTTCTTAAAGCTCTCACCCACACCTTTTAGCTTCACTGTGGTCAGATTCTGGGTGCCAAATACCCTGGATAGGAGAAAAAGAGGAGGTTGAGGAGACACCCAGCCCACCTACAACTCCAAATTACACACACAGCCTCCCAGTATGAGATGTCAGGGGCTGGGTCCTACCTAAGGACACACTCAGAAGATAAAGAATTCCCCAAATAGGCTAATTACAACCTAAAGCTAACCCTATGGTCTACTTCCCACATCTCCTCCCCCAAATCATCAGGTCATCTGGTAACCACACCTCCCCCTCCCTGGAGCTCCCATCTTGTCCCCCCGCCCCTCACCGAAGATCCTCAGGCCCCAGGAAGCCCAGGTCACCGTAGTTGATGTGGAAGTTGAAATCATGGCTGTAGCGGTTAAAGGTGATAACTTTGCGTTGAGGATAAGGCCCCATGCGGGAGAAGAGCACACGTTTATTGTGCTTCAGGCTGCGTATCCCAGGCTCCTCCTCCACCTCCCTTGTGAACTCCACCTACACAGTAGGCAGAGAAAAGGCACACTGGAAAACCGCAGCAGATTCTGGTGTAAGTGTGGATTTTGTTATTTCTGTTTTTGGCTTTTTTTTTTTTTTTTTTTTGGTGGCACTGGGGTTTGAACTCAGGATCCCACACTTGCTAGGCAGGCGCTACCATGTGAGCCACTTTGCCAGCATGGTTCTGATGTAGGGATGGCACAAGACAAAGGGACAGGGCAGAAACTTCTCCCCCTTGGAGAAGTAAAGAGTCTGTTGTATGGTCAGAGAAGCTTACTCACCAGGATGGGGTAGACCACCGCATCTCGGACGACAAATGGTTTCACCTTGAAGGCTTTGCTGAGTGCAGCTGCCTGGTACACAGCCCCCATGGCGGCTGCTTCATCTGCATTGATGTTCTTCCCTAGCTCCTCCCTATGAGAGTCCCAAGCTTCAGAACCATCCACCTGGGAGCATCCAGCCTAGACTCCTTCCTCTCAGCCCCCCAGTTGCCCACTACCCAAGACAGACTAGGTGTCAAGGCCATTCCCCACACTCACTTGTTCACAGCTTTCAGCAGTACCTCCTGAACTTTGGGGACCCGAGTAGCTCCACCCACCAGGATCACCTGCTCAATCTCATCCTGCAGGAGGAGAAAAAGGTGAGGGGAGGTTCAAGCAGTTCATGGCTTTCCTCAACAATGACCTTTTCCCCTTCTCTCTGCAACTAGTGTCCTGCCCCATTCCCTCCCAGCACCCATGCCTCCCCAATTCACTTACCAAACTCATCTCAGCACTCTGGAGGGCCTGCTGGACAGGCCCAGGCACCCGCTCAAACAAATCTGCACACAGCTCCTCAAACTCCACCCGAGTCACTTTTGCCTTAAAGTCCACATCATCCATCAGGCCCTCAATCTGGGAGAGGAGGAGGATGGTCAGAGGGTTCTTGCCCAGGTCATGCTATCTGGGTGGACAGGACAGAATCCAAGGGAACAGGAGGGCAGGGCCCTCCAACCCTCTGGGGAGGGCAAGCTTGCTCTCCACCAGACCCATGTGGTCACCTGGGCCATGTGGTCAGCATTGGCACTCAAGACGGTTTTGAGTCGGTTGGCCTCCCGTAGCAGCTTGGCCATGGCACGAGGGTTTTCCCGTACATCTTTGGCTTTCTGGCCCTTTCGTTGCTCATTGAAGAGTCTGGCCAGATGCTCCCGAAGCCGAAGCTCCATCTCTAGGCCCCCGAGGGTGCGATCAAACCTGTCAGGAATTGGAATGGGCAAAGTGTGAGGACAAAGAAGGCTGACTCTCATCCCCACATGGCACCCTGCCCTTGTTTCAGGGGCCCTATTCACCTCCAGTGCCCCAACTCTCCACAGCACACCTGACACCTCAGTGGCAGTTCACTTACCCACCCATTCAGTATTTACTAAGCACCAACTGTCTCTTGAGAATGCAGAGGCAGTTGGCAGGAGTATTTGGGGGAGAGACAGCATCCCTGTTGTCAGGATTTCATAAACCAGATGAATAACCTCGTAAATGTGAAATCATAACCACCCCAGACAAGGTTAGTGAGACACAAACTGGGAGGGCTGTGCTACTCAGGGATGTCTGGAAAAGTGTCCCTGAAGAGTGACTCTAGAATTGAAACCTCAAGGAAGACCTGGAGTTGACTAGGTAAAGAGAAAAAAAGAACATTCTAGACAGAGAGAACAGTATCTGTAAAGGTAGGAGAGCATGGCAAGCTCCAATGGATGGTAAGTATGCTAGGGCTCAAAGAGCAAGACGTCTCAGAGATAACTATAGAAGGTGTCACTCTGACAAACACAGGGAAAGTTTTAAGGAAACAGATTACAGGGCTGAAGTGTGGCTTAAGTGGTAGAGCGCCTCCCTACAAATGAGGTATAGTCAGACTAGACTAGTATTTTATTCATTCATTCATTCATTTATTTATGCAGTTCCAGGGATGGAACCCAGGACCTCAAGTACTCTAGGCAAGTGTTCTACTACCCAGCTCCAGCTCCAGCCCCTACATGACCATTTTATTTTATTTGGTGACACTGGGGATTGAACTCAGGGCTTTGTATTTGCAAAGCAAATGCTCTACCACTTGAGCCACACCTCCAGTCCATTTTTCTCTGGTTATTTTGGAGATGGGATCTTGCAAACTGTTTGCCTGGGCTGGCCTCAAACTGAGATCCTCCCGATCTAAGCATACCAAGTAGCTAGGAAGGCTGATGGAATGGCTTAAGTGGTAAAAGCACCTGCCTAGAATGTATCCCGATTTTAAATTCCAATGCCACAAAAAAAAAAAAAAAAAAAAAAACCTCAAAAAACAAGGATTACAGGTGTGAGCCACCAGCACCTGGTTAGATTGACATTTTAAGAGAACCTCCCTCCTTGGCTGCAATATGGAGAAAGAACGGAAAAGGAAATCACTGGAGAAAAGCAGATTAAGACACGGTAGTTTGGTCTAGGGTGGTAGTAGTAAAGATAAACAGAAAAAGATAGATTCAGGAAAGCCAGCTACTTGGGAGGCTGAGATCGGGAGGATTAAGGTTTGAGACCAATCCGGGCAAATAGTTCACAAGACCGTTCTCCAAAATAACCAAAGCAAAACGGACTAGAGGTGTGGCGCAAGCAGGCAGAACTCCTGCTTTGTAAGTGTGAATTCCTAAACTCAAACCCCAGTTCCAACAACAACAAAAAGGTGGCTCAAGACTATTATCCTAGCTACTTGGGAGGTTGAGACTGGATCGCAGTTTAAGGCCAGTCCAAACAGCTCATGAGACCTCTATCTTCTACTTCTAAATAACCAGGGCTAAATGGGCTGGAGGTGTGGCTCAAGTGGTAAAGTGCCTGCTTTGCAAGCATGAAGCCGAGTTCAAACTCAAGTCCCACCAAAAGGTTAAAAAAGTAAGGACAATGATAAATAAGCTGGATGTGACAGGAAAGCAAGAAAGTGCCTGAGCCAGGTGCTGGTGGCTCCTGCCTATAATCCTAGCTACTCAGGAAACAGAGATCAGGAGGATTGCCCAGAAGCCAGCCTGGGCAAACAGTCTGCGAGACCCTATCTTGAAAAACCCTTCACAAAAATAGGGCTGGTGGAGTCACTCAAGGTGAAGGCCCTCAGTTCAAGCCCCAGTGCTTCAAAAAAAAAAAAAAAAAAAAAAAAAATACTTGAGCTGTGTGCTGTGGCTCATTCCTGTAATCAGGAGACAGGGATCAGGAGGACTGTGGTTGAAAGCCAGCCATGGGCAAACAGTTTGTGAGACCCTATTTCCAAAAAACCCCTCACAAAAAAAGGACTGGTGGAGTGGCTCAAGGTGTAAGCCCTGAGTTCAAACCCCAGTACCACAAAAAAAAAAAAGGTACTTGAATTTGATATTCTATCTGGCCTGTAGTTTCAAGGGTTTCCTAAGAATATGTTCAGGAAGTTCCCTGCCTTTAAGTCTCCCCAAACTTTCCTCCCTTTCTCTCCTGCTTCCTCTTCCTCTTTGGAAGTGACCCCCATGGTGACTGATGCTTTACCCAGGAGACCATTCTTGATGAGAGCAGGGAAGAGGTAGCTGCCCCTCCAGGGAAGAAGCCCCTAACCTGAAGGTCTTAATAAGAAGCCCTCCTCCTGGCCCCCACTTACCCCACCCCCCGGATCTGCAGCTGTGGTTGCATCCCGGCCTCCTTAGTCTTCACCGTCTGGTAGGTCACGATGGTGCACACTGTGCTGCCTGAGCCCATGTCATAGAACATGACATTCTGTGGAGACACCAAGAGCATTGTCATAGGAGCCTTACCAAATCCTAGGGTGTCTGCTTGTCTACCTGCCTGCATTCAAGGGGCCAACGACTCTCAACATGAAGCCGAGTAGCTTCAACAGGGGCCACAAGAAGGTTGCTGCCCAACTTTGCCAAGGGTCAGCCATGCAAACAAGATGCAAAATGGACCAGGTGGCCTCCATCCTCAGACTCAGAATGCAGATCCAGTCAGAAGGCTTTCCTGACTCACCTGTGCAGTGCTGTTGATATCTTTCCGGCGGAAGACACCATAGCTGAGAGCAGTGGCAGTGTTGTCATTGATGAGCTGCAGCACTTTGAGGCCAGCCATTCGAGCAGCCTGCAGCACAGCTCGGCGCTCAGCCTGGTTGAAGAAGGCTGGTACAGTGATCACTGCATCTTTGATGGGTTGCTCTACAGAGGATGACAGAACAGGGTGCCTTCAGCTCCAAGCCTTCGATCAGCATTTCTACCCTGAACACTGACATTCTGACCCAGAAAATTGTTGCTGGGAGCTGTCCTGGGTACAGTAGGAGATGCCAGAAGCATATCCCCAGATGTGCAACCAAATATGTCTTCAAACATTGCCTGAGAGGCAAAACTTCCCCCATATGAGAATCACTGCTTTAGATCCCAGGGAGCCTGTGTACCACTCACTCCACCTTGACAGTCACCTGCAAAATCTTCAGCCAGGGAACGGGAGTAGTTGAGAACCATACCCAGCACCTCCTCAGGTGAGAACTGCAGCTGCCTGAGGGGAGGGGGAGAAGTTGACATAAGGAAAGCCAAGCATTAAGGCAGGAAAGGCATGAACACATGCCAACGAGGAGCCCAAGGAAGCTGAGCCTGCCTTCCCCAACACAACACTCACGGGCTTATATGGAAGCGCACAGTCTGCCTCTGTGGGTCAACATTTAGCTCATGCTCTGGGAAACGGGCCCGGTAAAGGGCCACATGAGGGTTATCTGCCTGCTTTCCTAGGAGGTACTGGAAGTAACGCATTGTAGCCTTTGGGCTCTTGATGGCCTAAGGAAAGTGAAGAACAAGCAAGGTGTTAGGCCCAAGCCCAGAGATGGATAAGGGAGCAGACTCTGGGTCTGGCAAAGAGGGCTGCTAACTCACCATGCCTGCTGCACTGTCTCCAAAGAACCTTTCATTTTCTTTCAGGGTCACAGTCACTGGGGTTTTCCTCCGAGATTCCCTGAGGACAAGAGAAATTTACTCAGGTGCCTGCAGCAGGGTGTAAACCGAAGAGCTTTGATACTCCACAATCATTCAGATGCCAAAGTCTACTGTGGGCACTACCAAGTACACACTCCCTTGCTGCCAACCCGTGATGCAAGGACCACCCTCACTTGTTCAAGACAATCTCCATGGGCACTCCAGGTTTGACGATGGCCACCTTCATAGATTCACTGCCCAGGTCCACAGACATCACAGCCAGTGTGTCTACAAGGAAAATAGCTTTGTTAATTAGACCCCCCCCTTTTCCTAACTTCTTGCAGGCTTCTAATTAAAGCGTAATATATACATGCTTATATAAATGTATGTGTATATATATATATATATACACACATATATATATATATATACACATACATATATATATATATATTTTTTTTTTTTTTTAACGTGGAGAAAGATGTCAAAAAACAAAGAAAGAAACGTAGGTCCAACAACCCTACAGACTTCTGCCCAGGAACCTCTTGTGTCCTACCCACCACTCATTTATTTTTCTTTTGATCCTTCCGCCGGGTACATACCACTCAGTGCCAGCAGATCTGCCAAGAGGACTGCCACCAAGGCCCAACACGGTAGTCTCCTTGGCCTCTGCCTTCTCCCTGTAGCTGCCATTGTGCCCCTGGAGGAAAAGGAAAATACACTTGTAACTGGATGCCTAGAGTGACGGACACAGAACCACATCCCAAAACTGAGAAAACTGTAAGATTCATATCCACTGCGTTCTTGCTCAGTCCAGAGCAGCCTACATCCCATCCTGGCCTGTCCACTCCCTCCTGATGAGTTCCAACCACCCTAAACATCCCCTTAAGTGTCCACAGAAGGCCCAAACAAAAGAGCGTGGCTCATTAGCCCCACCGCATCTCTAAACAGAAAGTAACAGGACAAAAGGAAGGAGACCAGAGCCTTCCACCCACTGCACAGGCTCGTATCTGACACACCGCAGTACTGTATCACTGTCAGGCACCTGGAAGAGGACCAGGAACCCTCGAAACAGCCTCAACTACTTCCTCACACCTGGAGTTCCCCTGGTGACCAGGAAAGCCAGGATGGGCCTGGACAGGACCTGCGAGGTGATGACGTTCGGAGAGCTGGGATGGAAGAAGAGCCCGTCTCCTCCGCATCCCTGCAGGTTGTCCCTTCCACTCCCCTTCTTCATCCCACTCTCGGGCCCCACTGCCCACGCAGACGCTGTGCCGGAAGCAGTAACGTTACTCGCCGGGCGGGTATCAAATACCTGGTATTCACCTAAGTCTCACCTGACCCAGGCTGCAGCTCCCGCTCCCGGAAACGGATGCCGGCCAATCCCTAGCGCGTACGGGAGGCCCAGGGTCGGCGCTGCGGGGCCCAACGCACCGGCGTCCGTGCGGCCCTCACTCCCGCTACCGACCCGCCCCCAGAGCGAACACGCTGCTTCCCCTAGGACCCGCGACCCGGTGGTCTCTCCGTCCCTACCCCCGCCACCTCTGGCCTCTGCTGCTGTGGCCTCCGTTTTGGGACAAACGCGGAGCGGACGTACCCACGCGGCCGTCAGCGCTCCCCGGCCCGCGCCCTTCACAACTCCCCTCCGTTTGCAAACTGTTACATTAGCCACCAACCTCTCTGCGGCGTCTCGCGCACCAGCCGGCCCCGGACGCGGCGCGCGCTCATTGGCGCCTCCACCGCCCGGCCCTGCGCCGAGCGCCCGGCTCCGCCCCCGCCGTCCGGCGCGCGCTCCCATTGGGCCACGTCCTAGGCCCGCCCCGGCCCCGGTCCTGCCCCCAAGGAGTCCGCAGGACCAGTCCACCAGCTGGGGCAAAACCGCTGGCGCGGGCCGGGTATTGGGCCACGTCACCGGCCGGTGCATTCTGCTCCCTCCTCCCGCGGCGCATCCGCGGGACTTCTTCCAGGCTCAGCGCTGGACGCATCGCAGCGGAGGGCCTGGAGAGACCCACACCTGGGACAAGACGGGCGCACGGTCAGTCCACCACTCAGGCCCCTTCATCCGGTCACCTGGGACACCCCCCAGCCGAGGAATGGGAATGGCCGGTATCCCCTCCGCAGGCACGCGGAAGAAGCTCTTGCGGGCCGGTTGGTACCGAACTGCCCTAGGCTTTGGCTAGACATCAGAGAATTGGCTGCTCTTTGGGGCTTAGTCAACCCAACATGCCTCTGGCTCATTTTAAGCCACAAAAGTGATGTTTGCTGATGGATCGGAGATAAGCAATGTGTTATTTGGCAGAAATTGGCCTGGACACTGAACCCCATCTGCATGAGAAAAGACTATTCCAAACTGGAAAGAGCCACACACCAAAGACACGAGGCTTTCATTGGTTGAGCGGGTGTCAGACCCCTTCTGTGTATTTCTGTTCCATTAGATCTTGCACCCTTTCCTTTCTCATGAAGTGCTTCCATGGTAGAATTAAGACACCTCCCCCCTCTCTGCCTGTTGGTCACTCCTCACTCCTGCCCCTGGAGAGCGCACTTCTACGTGACGATGGAAATCAGTGGCCTGTTTCTCTCCCCCGAAATCTACACCTGACATCCACTCACAGAAGGAGCTCTAGAAGGCCCTGCCGTCAAGGTCAGGACTTTGTCAAGCCTGAGCTTGTAGGAACTGTCATCTGTTCCTTTCGCTACACTTTTTCTTTTTTTAATAACTCTTAATTTAATAGAGTAGTGGAAGTGAAACCTACCGGCAGGACCACGGAGAGGTCTACTGTGCTTCCTTTCTGGAACAGCTCAGGGCTGGGGGTGTGGCTCTATAGAAGAGAAGCTTGCCTACCAAAAAAGGAACTGGTGGCTGGGAGCGTGGTTCAAGTAGTAGAGCGCCTGTCTAGCAAACGTGAGGCCCTGAGTTCCAAGCCCAGTACCACCAAAAAAAAAAAAGTATAATATAAACAACACACAAATGTAGTCTCGGAAAAAATTCTAAAGCTAAATCCCGACACTAACCACAACTTCCCATTCTCACCTCTGGAGGTACCTGATGTTGACAAGATGGTGTGTAATCTTCCAGGCCCTTTCTTCTGAATTTACACACATATACACACACACATAGTTTTTTTTTTTTTGGGGGGGGGAACTAGGGTTTGAACTAACAGCTTGGCATTTGCAATGCAGGCACTTTACCATTTGAGCCACACTTCCAACCCATTTTTTTCTGGTTGTTTTGGAGATGGGGTCTTGTGAACTATTTGCCTGGGCTGGCCTTGAACTGCAGTCCTCCCAATCTCAGCCTCCCAGGTAGGATTACTGGGGTGGACCATCAGTGCTCAGTTTATCTTTTTGAAATAAAAATGTTACACCATTGTGTTGTTTGCAGTTTTTTTTTTTTTAATTAGTAAGTTATGGAGTATTTTCCATGTCAGGATGATTCACCTTACTGTTTTTGTGGCAGAACATTCCATAACATGGTTGTTTAGCTATAATGATGGACATAAAAGTTGTCAGTTCAGTTTTACAAAGAGATTTTCTGTCTCAATAGTTGACTCTATTTTTGGCCAACCTTCAGTAGATTCTTTCTGTCCATTTCAAACACAGTTAAAGTTTAACACTTACTAGGTCTTTGTAAAATGCAACCACTGAGCAAAGTGCTGGGAATCCAGCGATGGGTATGAGCTTGTCATTGTCTTCAGAGAAGTCACAATCTTGGGAAACAAATATGCTGATCATTTCCTGTTGGAGAGCCGGGCACTAGTGACTCGTATCTGTAATCCTAGCCAGTTGGGAGGGTGAGATTGGGAGGATTGAAGTTCGAGGCCAACTGGGGCAAATTGTTGGAGAGACCCTGTCCAGAGACAGGGATTAATGGAGTGGGTCAAGTAGTAGAGCACCTGTCCAGCAAGGCCCTGAGTTCAAACCCCAGTCCCACAGAAAAATAAAAACAAACCCTATTGGATGAATGCAGATTAGGATACTAAATCAGTCTCTCCTCTCCTAGTAGAGTTCCCACCCCTACAATGCCTTTGATGGGAGTTTTGCTGCTGTTACAGTTCATGCTGGATATCATTCCCCCGGGAGGTGCAGCAGGTGCAACTCCTCTGGGGAGTCACCTGTTTTGTTCTCTCACCAGAGAGGAGAATAGTATTTCACAAGAATGAGTTGAGGAACAATGAGAAATTTTTCATGTGAAACACCTGATTAATATTGATGTTGGCTGAGAAATTCACTGTTCTTATCCATAATAACTTGTGAATGCATCACTTCTCCAACACTATGCAGAATCCCAGGAAAAGAAGTTGCTGCCTTGCAGGACATGGGCTAAACTGACAGAAGATTAAAATGAGCTGGGCATGGTGGTGCATGCCTGTAATCCTAGCACTTGGGAGGCTGAGGCAGGAGGCTCAAGAGTTTGAGGCCAGTGTGGACTAGATAGTGGGAACTTGTTTAAAAAATTTTTTTAAAAACCAACTACTCAGGCAGAGGAGATTGGGAGGATGGTGATTTGGGGTCAGCTCAAGTGAAAAGTTAGATCCCCATCTCAGCAAAGAAGATGGGTATGGTGGTGGACCTGGACAAATAGTTTATGAGACTGTATCTTGAAAATACCCAACATAAAAAAGGACTGGCAAAGTGGCTCAAGTGGTAGAGAGCCTTCCTAGCAGGTGTGAGGTCCTGAGTTCAAACCCCAGTACTACAAAAAAAAAAAAAAAAAAGCCAGATTGTGTGTTCAAGGCCAGCCTGGGCTATATAGCCAGACCCTGTTTTTCCCCCTTCCCAACTCCCCCCCCAAAAAAAGAAAAAACTGTAAGCCAAAAATAAACCTTTCCTCTCTTAAAAAAAAGAATCAAAGGCATAAGAATAAAAATTTACATTAATATTTCTGTCTATAGGAATTTCTCCTTGGTAGATGATAAGGAGTAAGTCTGCACAAAGACTATTGGTAAAGACATCAGTAGACACCTGGGCTGGGGAGTGTGCCTCAAGTGGTAGAGCATTAGCTTATCAAGTGGGAGGCCCTGAATGGTGTTTTACCACAGGCACCTTTGGTGTTTGATGCTAAGTTGTGCTGTCCCCCCCGCCCTTTATTCTTTTTTTTGCAGTACTGGACTTGAACTCAGGGCTTACACCTTGAGCCACTCCACCAGATTCTTTTTTGTATGTGTGAAGGGTTTTTTCAAGATAGGATCTCACGAACTTTTTGTCTGGCTTGACTTTGAACGGTGATCCTCCTGATCTCTGCTTCCTGAGTAGTTAGGATTACAGACATGTGCCACCGGCGCCCGATGGCCACTTTAATTTCAAACTAAAGGTCTGTTGTATTGCTTGTCTTTAATCCCTTCAGAACTGAAGTTCTCAGTGTGCAGAGCTGTAAGTGAATTTGTGTACATAGTCATTTTCCATTTATTTTACTGACTATACTGAAGTTCCCGAATTCAAACAGGTATATCTAAAAAGACAAACCCTAGTGTATGTTCTGACAAGTGTAACCTAGCTTCACACCCCAGAAAACTATCTAATTAGAGGTTAGGGGATGGAAAAACTCTCATTTTATTTCCAAAGAACTTTGATGTTTTTGGTCAGAGAGAGTCACTTTAAGCTTCTTGAGACTGTCTGTCATCAGGGATAATGATACTTTCTGTAGATAGATATTCCATGAAAAGCAAAAGCACTTTGTTAGGTATAATTTGCTACATGAAATTAGGAGCTGGTTATAATCAGGTTGGTTGTTTTTTTTTTTTTTCCAGTACTGAGGCATGAACTCAGGGCCTTCACTTCAAGCCACTCAGTACCAATCCTTTTTGTGATGGGTATTTTCAATATAGGAACTTTCGAACTATTTGCCCAGGCTGGCTTCAAACCTCAATCTTCCTGATCTCTGCCTCCCGGGTAGCTAGGATTACAGCCATGAACCACCAGCACCCAACACAATCAGGTTTTTGTTTGTTTGTTTTTATGTGTGTCCCCTAGGATAGTGGTCAAAGACATGTTCATTTATCTTTTGGACATTTGATACAATTCCAGGCATAGGGAGTGTTCAAAACATGTTTACCAAAAGGAGGAAAGGAGGTATTGCTCATCAATGAGACCCATAGGATTTTGATACTAAGTGTCACCCACTGTAATCCTAGCTACTCTGGAGGTAGAGGTCAGGAAGATCACATTCCAAGTCAACCAGGCAAATAGTTCTAGAGACCCAACACAAAAAAGGGCTGGTTTTGTGGTTCAAGTGGTAGAGTGCCTGCTTAGCAAGTGTGATGCCTTGAGTTCAAATTCCAGTACCACCAAAAATAAATGAGACTCAACAGGCACAGGTGGAGCCACATTCTGACATCAGAAGACCTCTGCCACAGGACAGCAGGGGGAGCACACAAGTCAACAATAAAGATGTCACCACACATCTCTTTGCTTCTGTGAATACTTTTTTTTTTTAAATGATGGGACCACAGGGCCTCCTGCTTGCTAGGCAAGTGCTCTACCACTTGAGCTACATCCAAGTCCATGATACTTGTTTTAACACATTCTTCAGTCTTAACTGACATGTTCACATACTGTCTAAAAAATGTTCTAAAGTAGTATGAAATCAGTTCAGTAGGTTAAGTGGGTTCAATTTGTTCTCCAGTTGTGGTTCTGCCCATGATCCAGTCAGTACCTGTGTGGCAAGGAGAAAAGAAAACTAAGCTCAATGTTAGGAAATCTTTGTGTTTGTTAGAGGCTAGTCGATTTCTGTCATTTCTCTCTTCAGACAAATGGATGTTATCTGCTCTTCAACCAGATAAGGAAAGGAAGGCCTAAGAGAGTCATCTGTGTTCATTCTTTCATCCAAACATGGATCATCTACCAGGCTGTTAGGCCTAATTCATGGTAAACAAGACACAGCCCCTGGTCTCTGGGTGCTCAAGTAAAATATTCTGAAATAAAAAGTTGTGTGGGGAAGGGGTGCACAAATAAACGTCACAAATACTTAGCACGTGGCCACTTTTTCATGTTCATACGGTCTTAAAATGCCCTTAGTACTCCTGTGCATAGTTCTTGGGGCACACAAACAATGAACCTACAGATGTCCATGAAGATAGGCCCATATCCATACAGAGCAAGGCTAGCCAGATTTGGGAGTGGAGAGTAGCCATGGAGTATCCTGAATACTTGCAACGTGTTACATCACTCAACTTTCCTCACTACCACTTCCAGTCTTTTGCCCTGTTCCTTTTCTTTCCCATACTGTGCCTCTATGGAAAGGGAGAGAAAGCACAGGGTATTGGGAATTCTGTCCCATCAGTGTTTCCCAGCCTCCTTAAGAAACATGTGTTGCGTGCCTAAGGTGCCACACACCCTAACGGATACACAAAAACGAATATAAGAGTATAGTTTGCAATATGTCTGGTGGCAGACGCAGACTTGTTTTTCCTTTCCAACAGCTGAAAAGCCGGTTTCATATACATTGCTTTATTTGTACCCTAAAAATAATCCTGTGAGGACAAACTATAATTCACTTAGACACAACGGGTTACAAGTCACAAAACGCATCGTGAGCCCTAAGTGCAATTTTATTTTACTCTGGAGAGACAGGTTCTCGCTATGTAGCCCAAACTGTTCTAAAACGCACAATCCTCCTTCCTCACCTTCCTGAATACTAGGACTACAGATTGAGCAACCAAGCCTGGCTCCACCCGCGCACTTTGTAGAGGAGGAAACTGAAGCTTAGAGGTTAAGTGTCCAGCTCTTAAGCGTTTTAGCCCACGCGGCCACAGCAAGAAGGTCGCAATCTACACAGCAAACGACCAGCGAGGGGAGTGGCGCCGGGGGCTCCGCCCACTGTGCCGGCAGCGGGAAGCACCTGTGCGCATGCTCCCGGAAGCTGTGCGTCACATGATCATCAGGCTCCGCTCACGTGACGTCGTTTCCGGAGGCGGGGGCCGTCGGCCAAGATGGCGGCCTACCTGCAGTGGCGGCGCTTCGTTTTCTTCGACAAGGAGCTAGTGAAGGAGCCACTGGGCAGTGATGGGGCTGCTCCCGGGGCCGCGCCTGCCTCCGGATCCACTGCCTCCAAGTTCTTTTGCCTCCCTCCTGGCATCACTGTCTGCGACTCAGGCCGGGGGAGCCTGGTCTTTGGCGATATCCTTCCTCTGGAGCTGTCCCTTCCCTCCCCCATACCCAAAGAGATCCAGTTGGGATGCAGTTTGTCCGTCAGTGTTGGTTCGTGCTTCGGCCACTTTTCTTTAGCTGGGAACCCAGACCTATTCTGGGGTCTGAGGGAAAAAAGAAGGAAGTTCAATCTCTTAACTTGTCAAGTGAGCAGTCCTGGGCAAGTCATTTCACCTCTCTGGACTTTGATTACCTTATGTAAATGTAAAGGGGTTTAAATGCCAATTTGACAAAGTTATTTAACGTCAGTCCCCCAGAGTGGATGAAAATTATCTTTAAAAGATGAATATGGAAGCGCTGCCAAATATTGTAGACGAGGAGCTAAATGAGACCAGGAATTTGTTTCTTTGTTTTTGGGCTACGCTGGGAAGTCCTTACAATTTTAAAGGGCTGTGTGCATGTTAGTTGTTGTCTGGGTTTTGGTCTAAATATAAGACTTCCCAGTGGACGCCTGAAGCAAAGATAGTACTGAACCCCACTGGTGCTATATTTTTTCCTAGAGAGATGTTCCTCAACTTGTGATGGGGTTATGTTGGGATAAACTCAAAGTTAAACGTTTTCTAAATCGAAAATGCACTTAACACACCTAAACTACTACTGCTCACAGCTTGTGAACGCAGTACACTGTAGTATTTTCGTTTACCTTTGTGAGCTCTTGGCTGACTGGGAGCTTCAGCTTGCTGCACCTGTCCAGTATCACAAGCAAGTATCTTACCCATCTCACTAGCCAGGAAAGGCTCAAGATTCAAAGTAGTACTTCTACTGAATGCATATCACTTTTGCACTGTTGTAAATGAAAAGTTGTTGCTGGGGAATGTTTGCACATGAGGTACTTACAATAAAGTTTAATTTGTAAACTAAGTATAGTAAGGTTAGTAATGATAATAAAAAATTAATGACAGTATACTGTAATTAAAGTTCTGTGAATGTAGTCTGTCTCCCAACATTTTTTGTGTGTGTGTGTGTGTTACTGGGGTTTGACCTTAGGGTCTATACCTTGAGCCAGTCCACCAGCCCTTTTTGTAAAGGGCTTTTTCAAGATAGGGTCTTGAGAACTATTTGCCAGGCTTCCTCAATGCTCCTGATCTCTGCCTTCTCCTGAGTAGCTAGGATTACAGGCATGAGCTACTGGTGCCCAGCTTCAATTTTTAATTCCTCATTGTACTGTAGTATTTTTGGCCTGTGGCTCTCCGTGGGTAACTGGAAGCAAAGAAAGTAAAGCTACAGAAAAGGGGGAAGTGCTGTATTTCTCCTTGTAAAGGAAGCTCCTTGACTACCCTGCACATATGGAAGGCCAAATCTGGTTCTTGCCACGTTCCCTACAGCTTACAGGCTTCCAGGCCTACAAACTACGAGTGACACACCTGTACCAACTGAAGCAGCACAATATTCTAGCATCCGTTGGTGAAGATGAAGAGGGTATTAACCCCTTGGTGAGTCCCAGAAAAGAAAGATCCAGATGCCTGGGATGTTTATCTGTTGGAGAGGACTGGCATTTATATGTCTTGAGTTCTGTCCACAGGTAAAGATCTGGAACCTGGAGAAGAGAGATGGTGGCAATCCACTCTGCACTCGAATCTTCCCTGCCATCCCAGGAACAGAGCCAACTGTTGTGTCTTGTTTGACTGTCCATGAAAATCTCAACTTTATGGCCATAGGTAAACATAAATAAGGCAAAAACGAACACTCTCAGATTTTCTTTAGTTGTTTCTGTTGCTTATCTTTATTATTCTTATGAGATCACTTCGTACTGTACTGAGACCTTTGAGTTATTTAACTTTGGAATGGGAAGGCGTTTAATTTTGTTCTTTGAAAATGAATCATTGAGACTCAGTTGCCCATCCAGGATTAACAACCCTGTACCCAGAGGACTCTAACCTGTACTTTTCATGAAGATAGTCAAGGATGCTGTTAGTTCCCTTGGAAGCTGTCACTTCCTGAAATCTGAGGAACTTAATAAAAGAGTCGATTCAGAAATGAAACTACTTCAGGATGCAGGACCCTGAGATTGATGGACAATTAAGTTGCTTGTGTTTTAAGCTCCCAGCTTGTTCTGAAAGGGAGGGGCGAACTTAAAAAATAATAGCCTTTATTTATAGCAGCAAACACAAGGGACAAATTAATAACCTGTAAACTTCCTTGTGACTCTAGCAGAGAATATCTACAAAGTATCAGCTCACACATTCTGATAGGAGACTCTTCTACTTTGCCTCCACCCCAGTTAGGAGTCCATAATCTTTCCTCAGGGATGTTATTTGTTTGGTTGTTTATTTATTGCTATTTCCAGCTTGCTTAGTGTTTTATAATTGCCTTGAGGAGATGGTGGAAGAAAGATGTGATAACAGCAGTGAGGCTTATTGGCAAAGTGAAATTCTCCCCAGACAGCCCCCCATTCTTTTCTGTCCTGTTTTCCCTCACTGTCTGCTTTTTCCCTCAGTGTTTCTCTGTATGACTCAAATAGTTTTCAATAGCCAGAGTCAGCCACCCAGGACAAGAAACGGAAAAAAAAAAGTCAGTGAGTACCAATATGCAGGTAACGATTAGGGAAGTTGGGTATGAGAAGAAAGCTTGTCATTTCTAATGAGTGCCTCTTTTTTGTCATTTCCCTTACCAATGTTCTCAGCCTCACAGAAGTGCTGTTTCCTGCTCTCCTATAGGTTTCACAGATGGCAGCGTTACATTGAACAAAGGAGACATCACCAGGGACCGGCATAGCAAGACCCAGATTTTACACAAGGGCAACTATCCTGTTACTGGACTGGCCTTTCGCCAAGCAGGAAAGACCACTCACTTATTTGTTGTGACAACTGAAAATGTCCAGGTATGACCAAGACCACTACTCTTTTGGTCAGACAACTAGTATCTCTTAATTGCTCAGGGGATTAGTGTAAGGTACTGACAAAGGAGAGGTGAGAATCTTAAAATTTTCATCATGTAGCCTTGAATTATTTGCTCAAGTTAATATATTATTCCCCCACTTAGGAGACTGGGAAGAGCTAGACTTCAGAAAGGACTCTGGGCTTAAAGAAAAAAAAAATGTTTTTTTCCCCAAATGACATTAGACAAGTTGCTTTACCTCTCTTGTTCCTTGTATTCCTAATTTATCATAGCCTACTCTCAGCAATAGGTTTTTGTTTTGGTGGTACTGGGGTTTGAACCTAGGGCCCCCCTGATATTTATGTACTCTACTACTGAGCTATATAACTTCAGCTTGAGAATAGTCTTTTGCTAAAATGGTAAAAGATTACTGCATTTCTCTTGTAGTATTTTTATACTAGGTAATGATAAATATATAAGAAGAAAGCATATACATGTATATATATGTTTCTTTAACAGATAGGTGGTGGTTAATGGAAAAGGTAAGCAGTCAAGGGAAATTCTGAGAATGCTGAGTAGGGAGACAAAGCCAGTGTAGAAATGGGAATACCTTTATGAAGGTTTATATGCTGCCTCTTCAAAGGGAGCTTGCTAACTTTTTCTTACTTTTATCAGTCCTATATAGTTTCTGGAAAAGACTACCCTCGTGTGGAGTTGGACACCCATGGTTGTGGTCTGCGCTGCTCAGCTCTGAGTGATCCTTCTCAGGACCTGCAGTTCATTGTGGCTGGGGATGAGTGTGTCTACCTTTACCAGCCTGATGAACGTGGACCCTGCTTTGCCTTCGAGGGCCATAAGCTCATTGCCCACTGGTTTAGAGGCTACCTTGTCATTGTCTCCCGTGACCGGAAGGTTTCTCCCAAGTAAGGACACCAGGGAGAAGGGAAAGGGAGTTCCCCAGAAGTCATCTGGTTTTAAAATGCTAATGCCTGGTTCCTGCCCATCTCTTTCTTGAGTTTTATGTGATTTGCACTTCCACCTAGACTCAGTTATACATTTATACTGAAAAACTTGTTTTTGCTGCATACATTTGCTTCTTAGCCTTTGTATACTAGAACGTTCCAGGGAATTTGGATGTAGTTGGAATTTTTACTCTTTGGTCAAAGTAAGTTGGACAGAGGAACAAGAGATTGAGTGGTAGAGAAATTGGAAAGCGCTGGGAAATGGAGAACAAAGGGTTTGTTGTTGTTGTTTTCCAGAGCTACTAACAGGGGGAGGAGGGTCTTCTGCATAGTAGAAGTACTCCCTGTCAGATGTTGGTTTGTTTTCATTCAGTACCAAGCACAATGTCTAACATAGACTAGGCATCAGGTGATTATTTGTTAATCAAATAGATGTCTGAATATAATTAAGTTTTTACTCTCTTGGTCTGTATTCATTATAGAATATTAGAAGATAAGATTAGGATTGCATGTTCTCTTTCTACAGTCAACCAAAATGCTGCATGTTATGAGATGAGTTGCTAGAGGCACCTAACAGGTGATTTGTTCCAGGTGGAGTGGCAACACCAAGGTTGTCATAGGAAGGAAACAAAAGGGGAGCTGAGACCGGAGGTGGTGCAAATAGCTGGTGCTTTTTCTTTCCTAAACAGGTCAGAGTTTACCAGCAGGGACTCACAGAGCTCCGACAAGCAGATCCTCAACATCTATGACCTGTGCAACAAGTTCATAGCCTATAGTGCTGTCTTTGAGGATGTAGTGGATGTGCTTGCTGAGTGGGGCTCCCTGTACGTGCTGACACGCGATGGACGTGTCCATGCACTGCAGGAGAAGGACACACAGACCAAACTGGAGGTAAAGCCAGAACTGGCACAGGCTCCTAGAAGCAGCTGCAGGAATGGGTTACCTAATCATTGGGGCCCAGGGTCCTTCTTTCTTTAGACTCACGACCTTACTAGGTTTCCTTAGGGTTGAGATTATGAAGTAAATGGCCTGGTATTCAGCTTTGGATGGAAGTAATGGCTGGGAACCTGAACCTAGTCTCAGGGTTTACTTTATTTGTAGAGGCCCTTTTGAGGTTGGTGATGTTGGTCTTGGGGTTATCTCAGGGTCTTTTGTCTAGGATCTAGGCAAATTGGAACTCTAGGACTATTCAGCTAGTGTGTTATAGGAATATTTTGAGAGGGTGTCTTCTCAGGACCACTTCTACCTATTTCCTAATCTATCTTCTCCTCTAGATGCTGTTTAAGAAGAACCTATTTGAGATGGCAATTAACCTGGCTAAGAGCCAACATCTGGACAGTGATGGGCTGGCCCAGATCTTCATGCAGTATGGAGACCATCTCTACAGCAAGGGAAACCATGATGGGGCTGTCCAGCAGTATATCCGGTCAGTCTGGAGGTGCTGTGTATATAGCTTTGAATGCAGAGACAGGCAGCCAGATAGCTGAAACCCATGCTCAGGGGAGGGGCTTTAACTTTACTGGTAGCTGGTTTTCCTGTGACACCTCAAATAAGAAGATGGGACATCTTGTTAGAGAATGTATAGGGTTAAATATTACATGACTGTTATAAAATGGAGCTATTATAAAATAGACTACCTTAGGTTGGCCTGTGTTTATATTCATTTTGACTTAGGTTTTTTTGGTGGGACTGAGGTTTGAACTCAGGGCTTTGTGCTTGTAAAGCCCTACTCCAGTCTAACTAGTTTTTTTATTTTTTTATTGTTTTTATTTATTTTTTTGGTGGGACTGGGATTTGAATTTGGAAGACAGATGTTCTACCACTTGAGCTACATCTCCAGTACATTTTGCTCTGGTTATTTTGGAGATGGGATCTCTTGAATTATTTGCCTGGGCTGGCCTTGACTGTGATCCTCACAAATAGCAAGCCTCTGGCACTGGCACTTTAAACAACCTAGTTATTTAAAGAGAAAAAGATATCTCTTGCTTCCTTTGATAGTAGTTCTTGGAATTTCTCCCCTCTAACCTCTTTCTCAATCTCTCTAGAATTCCTGTTTTTTAGCTAAGTTGAAGAACCAGTGCTCTGGAGTCTTGCACACAGCATAGTCCACAGCCTAGTAGCACTGATGTAATCTAGGACTTTGTTAGACATGCAGTCTTAGGACCCACCCATTGACTTACTGAAACAGAATTTGCATTTTTACAAGATCTACAACTGATTCCTATGCAGATGAATTTGGGAAGTACCTGATCCAGATGATATTGATGCACATGTCTCCCTAGAACCATTGGAAAGTTGGAGCCATCCTATGTGATCCGCAAGTTTCTGGATGCCCAGCGCATCCACAACCTGACTGCCTACCTGCAGACCCTGCACCGACAATCCTTGGCTAATGCAGACCATACCACCCTGCTCCTGAACTGCTATACGAAGCTCAAGGACAGCTCAAAGTTGGAGGAGTTCATCAAGGTGCAGCGTGGTATTTCTGGGAGATGATTCCTGGAGGGCCCCACTGAGTATAAAAGTGGCTCTACTAGGGCTTGCCCTTTTTTTTGGGTGGTACTGGGTTTTTTGGTGATGGGTTTATTTGAGATAGGATCTTGCAAAATATTTCCCTGGGCTAGCTTTGAACTGTGATCCTCCTGATCTCTGTCTCCTGAGTAGCTAGGATTACAGGTGAGAACCAGCGGCACCCAGCTAGGGCTTGCTCTTCTTGAGAGTAAAGTGGCTGTACCAGGGCTTGCCCTTCTTCAACAGTACACAGGGAGGAGCTGACTTTATTTGGGAACTTGTGCCCTCCGTAAATGGAGAAGAGTAGCTGTTTATGCTAATTCTCTCTCAACTCCTCTCTTGTTTTATGATGCCAGAAGCGTCCATGATATTTATACCTAGGGAAGTGGCATTAGGGAAGCCCTGTGTCCCCAGTAGTGTCCCTTTAATGGTAAGGGCTGAGGAAGGCATTGGGCTTTTAATCAGAAAATCTGAGAAGCAGGTTAGCATGTTTTCAAGGCATGAACATTATTATCATGTTAGTAATGAGTCTTAACATCAGATGCCTATTTCCCTTCCTTTCTCCAGCCACATCTATACAAGTGATTTTGTCTAATGTCTCCCTGGCAGACAAAGAGTGAGAGTGAAGTCCACTTTGATGTGGAGACAGCCATCAAGGTCCTCCGGCAGGCTGGCTACTACTCCCATGCCCTCTATCTGGCTGAGAACCATGCACATCATGAGTGGTACTTAAAGATCCAGCTGGAGGATATTAAGGTGGGTAAGATTCTTCTGGTAGGCACAGCTCTGTTCTTTTTGAGACCATCCCCGCAGTGACAGAAGTGCTTCCATAGCAGGTACAAGTCTGCCCTTTACCTCTCCACAGAATTATCAGGAAGCCCTTCGGTACATTGGCAAGTTGCCTTTTGAGCAGGCAGAGAGCAACATGAAGCGCTATGGCAAGACCCTCATGCACCACATACCAGAGCAGACGACTCAGTTGCTAAAAGGACTTTGTACTGATTATCGGCCCAGCTTGGATGGCCGAGGGGATAAGGAGACTCCAGGCTACCGGGTGAGGCCTATGGAAAATAGTTTTGGGCAACAGGATCACTTTGGGGGCCTCTGGGTACCAAACCGACTCACTCAGCTTTCTTGCTCCTCTTTTCATCCTAGGCCAACTCTGAGGAGTTTATCCCCATCTTTGCAAACAACCCCCGAGAGCTGAAAGCCTTCCTGGAGCACATGAGTGAAGTGCAGCCAGACTCACCCCAGGGCATTTATGACACACTCCTTGAGCTGCGGCTGCAGAACTGGGCCCATGAGAAAGATCCACAGGTAAGCCAGCACCTGACTAGAGCTGCAGGAGGTGCTGCAGAGAAGACAGTTCTTGGACTAGGGGGATAGCTCATTGGTAGAGTACTTGCTTAGCATGTGTGAGGCTCTGGATTCCATCCCCAGTACAGCAAAAAGAAAAAAGAAAAAAAGATAGTTCTTGCTGTCTCCATTCTTCCAGCTTTGCAGCTGCCATTTGCTGCTTTTCTTAGACCAGTAACATCTTATCTCTAGGGCAAAATGGTCTTCAGTGACAAGGAAACTAAACTGACAGAGATGGTTGACAGGCCTTGTCCCAAGACACCTTGTGATTTTCACCCTATGTTTAGCAGCCCTACCTTCCCTTTTCCCTAGGTCAAAGAGAAGCTTCATGCAGAGGCCATCTCCCTCCTGAAGAGTGGCCGCTTCTGTGACGTCTTTGACAAGGCACTGGTCCTGTGCCAGATGCATGACTTCCAGGATGGGGTCCTTTACCTCTATGAGCAGGGGAAGCTGTAAGAGTTTGGGGCCTTTCAGGGGAAAGGGAAGACCCAGGGACTTTTCCAGGGATAGCCACCGAGGTATGCTTTTGTCCTGGTTCCAGGTTCCAGCAGATTATGCATTACCACATGCAGCACGAGCAGTACCGGCAGGTGATTGCAGTGTGTGAGCGCCATGGGGAGCAGGACCCCTCCCTGTGGGAACAGGCCCTCAGCTACTTCGCCCGAAAGGAGGAGGACTGTAAGGAGTATATGGCAGCTGTGCTCAAACATATTGAGAACAAGAACCTCATGCCACCCCTTCTAGGTACTTTAGAGAACAGGATGGGTGGGTGACAGGCTGGGACAGTCAAGCTCTGTAACTCTGCTCTGAGGATCCTGCTTGGTTCATTGTCTTGTTTCCTTTTGTACCCCAATCTCAGTTGTACAGACCCTGGCCCACAACTCTACAGCCACCTTATCAGTTATCAGAGACTACCTAGTCCAAAAACTGCAGAAACAGAGCCAGCAGATTGCCCAAGATGAGCTTAGGGTGCGGCGGTACCGAGAGGAGACCACCCGCATCCGCCAGGAGATCCAAGAGCTCAAGGCGAGGTAGCTGGCACCTGGATACGTGGAGGGGTGCGGGGGATAACCTTTATCTTCCCAGGATTTTATTACATACTTTTCTCAGAGGATTGTATTGAATATGAGCGTTTTCTTCTTTTTTTCTTTTTTTTTTTGTGGTGCTGGGATTGAACCTAGGACCACACACATACTAGGCACACAGTTCATCACTAAGCACTAAGCTACATTCTAAGCCCCTTGAAGATGTTTTAAAGGAGGAATTCCAAAGAATGGTTAATTATGTAAAGCATCAGTTGTTGGGCTTTGGAGGATAAAATCTTGTGCTTTTCTATCTGTGTGTGCCATTATTTACCTTTTCCAAGCAGAAGTCTTAAGTTGTGATTTGAAGCCTTTTGGAAGTAAAAACTTGACTTTAGAAAATGCAGAGTGAATAATTTAGAATTACTTTTAGTAGAAATTATTCCTCAGGTCTTAAGTCTTATCTGCCTTTAACGTTGTGAAATAGTTGCTAGACAACGTTTTTTTCATTCTATAAATACTCAACCCCTATTACGTCCCAAACCCTGTTGTGAACAACGCAGATAAGAAGCCATGCCTTCATCGCGTTCACATCAGAGGGAGAGACAGTAAACGTCTTAAATAGGTAAACTATTGTACTCTATTACTTGGTGGTCCACTCTTAGGACACAATTAGCTGAGAAAGGCAGAAGGGCAAGGATTTAGTTTTTGGTTTTACAGTGCTGGGGATGGAATCCAGGGCCTTATCCTTGCCAAGCAAGTGCTCACCACTGAACTGTGCCTCCATTTCCCCAACTCCTTTTTTTAAGAACATATGTCACAATTTTAAGTAAGGTACACAGGAAGACCTCACTGAGTGTCACTCTGAATACACACCTGACAGTGGATTTAGGGGCAATTATGAAAGTTGAAAGAGGGAAACTGTTTCCCTGGTTTACTTGTACTTGGTAAGACTCACTCCAGATCCAGGACTGGTACCCTCATTTGACTGCCTTTAGGTGATATGCAGTATAGGCAGTCTCTTGTTCTTTCACGGGGACCTTTCCCTATCCACTGTCTTCACTCTCTACTTTGCTCTTGTTCCTGTCTTTACTCTTTGCTACTCCCTTCTGGTGTCATTTGCCTGTAGTCCAAAGATCTTCCAGAAGACCAAGTGCAGCATCTGTAACAGTGCCTTGGAATTGCCCTCTGTCCACTTCCTATGTGGCCACTCCTTCCACCAGCACTGCTTTGAGAGTTACTCAGAGAGTGATGCTGACTGCCCCACCTGCCTCCCTGAAAACCGGAAGGTCATGGATATGATCCGGGCCCAGGAACAGAAACGAGATCTCCATGATCAGTTCCAGCACCAGGTGGGGATGAGTGGGCTAGATGGGGGAGGGGATGCCCACCTGTGTCAAAGCCTCTGTGGCACACTAGAGGGCTTGTTTTATTTGCTCAGTTAGAAAATGAGCCCTATAGTTGTGATTCTTCTTCCCTCTCTTATCCTATAGCTCAAGTGCTCCAACGATAGCTTCTCCGTGATTGCTGACTACTTTGGCCGAGGGGTTTTCAACAAGTTGACTCTGCTGACTGACCCTCCCACAGCCAGACTCACCCCCAGCCTGGAGGCTGGGCTGCAGCGGGACCTGCTCATGCACTCCAGAAGGGGCACTTAAGCAGCCTTTGGGAAAGTGTGTGACCCTGGGGCTAGACGGGGACCTGAGGCGAGCTGTTGTCACACAGAAAACAAGCAGACATGCCCACAGCTCTAATGGGATGCCACTGCTTTCAGGTTACAAGGGGACTTGCTTTTCCTGCCCCCTTCTTTTGCCAGCCTGCTGTCCCTCCTATTGACTAGTAGTATAGATTACTCCAGACCAGCAGGGGAGGGCACCTCAGCAAGCTCTGTATGGACAATAGCTGCTTTATTCTCAATTCAAGGGCACCAGGCTGTGCTTGGGTCCTTGCTCTCAGTGTCTATAAATAAAAGAATATAATGACTTGAGGGTTGAGGAATATTTTTCTGGGGATTTTTAACTATGTATAACATATTTCCTTTTATTCTAGAGTGCTAGTTCCCTTTCTTGATCATGTTGACTCATCTTAGTACTGGGTAGGGCCTGTGGCATCTAGTAAGGTGAAATTCAGCTTGTTGAAGACCCTCTTCAAAAGACCTAGTGACTGAACCCAAGAGCAACCTGGTCTGAGGCACCCAAAACAGCCCCTGCTCTTTATTCTTTCTGGAATCCATAGCTTGTGTTCAGGAGAACTATTCAAGCTGGAGGCAGATTCTGGGAGGGAGCCTTGGGCCTAGCCTGCCCTTTTTTTTTTCCCCCTTCCTTTGGTGGCACTAGGGTTTGACTCAGGGCTTTGGCCTTGCCAGAAAGCACTCTACCACTTGAGCCACATTCCCAGCTCCTAGCCTGCCTTAACAGATAGGTCAGTTTCTTGCTTTACTCAGTATCAGATGTTAAGATAAAAGACAACGTAGTGAAATATTTTCCCTTTGAAGTTGTCAGCTAGTTGGTGTTACTGAGTGTCCCTATGTAATTTGGATTAACATTTCCTATCAGAAAATTGCTCCTATGGGGTTGTTAAAGGAAGTAACATGGACATTGTGATTTAAGTAGTCTTTGGAAGAGGCATATTGTAGCACAGCTGTGACAGATTTTGAATTAGATGACCTGAGATAAGGCAACTATTGTGTATGTATGTGTGTGTGTGATTGAGGTTTGGACACAGGGCTTGTTGCTTGCAAAGCAGACTACCACTTGAGCCCCACCTGCCCCTTTCCCACCAGCATTAATGTGTGAAGGGCAGGGGATGTCCTTGCCTAGCACGTGCGAGGCACTGAGTCCATCCTCAGAACGCACACACAGTGCTGGCACATCCACTTCAGTTAAGTCTTAGGCATAACCTTTAATCTCTCAGAACCAGCTTCATTTTTATTTTTAAATTTTTATTTTACTTCGTTTTTTTTGTGTAGTACTGGGGTTTGAACTCAGGACCGTACCACTTGAGCCACACCCAAGCCCCAATGCCTAGTTCAGGGTTCAATTTGAACAGAACAAAAGAAGTGTCACACAAATTGCCCTAATTGCTGGTGCCACTGCTTGGCACTACAGGGTTCTGGAGGCGCCTTCTGGGGTGGCCCTTTTAAGTCGATAATGAATGCAGCCCAGCGGGCATGCTGACTTACTCAGCTACCTTTCAGGGTTAATAGAGCCTCCTTCTCTCTTGGGCAGGGCTAATTTCTGCTTAATTAGCTATCCTTAGGGTGGCCGTAGGAGAGGGCTGGCAAAGAGTTTACCGGTAAAATTGGGAGACATCTTCAGCCACTGACCACAGGCGTTCCTGGTTCAGAACCAGGCCTCAAGCCTGTTCTGAACACTGACCCTGCAGGTGAGTCAGGACGGCTCGGTGGCAATTGTCCTCAGCTCCGCCCACAGGAAGGCGCCGCCCCGCCCCTTCCAGAGACAGCGCCGGACGTGACGCGGGGCCCCTCGCAGGTCCCGCAGTCAGGCTGCACGACGGGCTCAGGCTCCATGTGCCCTCAGGTTCCGTCAGTCTGAGCCCGCTGCTTCCACCGACCCCAGGGCACCTTCGCAGCACCGCGGGCCCACTTCCTGAGCCCAGCCATGTCCGGTAGCCGAGACCCGGCTGCAACGACGGTGAGTCCCGAGCCCGCGACCCGCACACGGGGCTTCCGATCGAGCCGCACAACGATTGGCCCCAGGTTACCATCCTCCGTCGTCTATTGGCTGGAGTGGCTATCCGTCATGTTTGCCTTCTCCGTATAGTTTTTAAAGGGCCAGTAGCTAGGTTGCCCTTAGGAAGGAAAGGGGAGGGCAGTGACCAGTGGGGGCAGGGCAAAGAGAGGAAAGATGGTTTCCTGTGAAACTTTCATCCCTACAGACTTTTCCCGCCCATGCCTGGGGTGAGGGCTCTAGGGTTTTGACCCAGCCTGTGAAGTTCGTCTGCGCTGCACTGACAGGATCCATTCACACAGCATGGTCCCGGATGGATGCGAACGCCTTGCAAGACATGCCACTCGTGATTCACAGGAGAGCGCACCCCAAGCTCCGACTGTACACAAACCTTTTGGAAGTGTGCTTTCTCCCTTTCTTCGTTATGGCAGTCGCCCGGCTCCAGCCTACTTCCAAAGTCCCCAGCTGACACGCCTCTGAATGACTTACTGCCGTGGACAGGGACCACCCCAGGCTTTCCCATTCCTTAGCCCTCGAGCTCTGGGCTTCGGCACCCGCACCCTGCGTGTGGAGGTCACTGCCTGACTGCGATAAGACAGACATGCGGGCACCTGCTTATCGACTCCTGCCCAGCCCGCCCGTGAGCAGCGGGATTTCTTTGCTAGTGTAGACATCCCAGAGCACTGAGCTCGGAGCAAGAAGGTTTGGGTCCCAGCACTAGCTGTCTGCTCACTATTAACTGCGTGGCGCTGAGCAAATCATTTCACGTTGTGGGAGAGGCGCCCGCCCTGTCTGCCTGATAGTATTGTTTGTTGTGAAGATAATATTGCCAAAGTAATAGTGCTAGCATATAAATGATAATTTTTTTTTTTTCTTGACTGTAAGGGAGTTTGCTAGGCAGGTGCTCTTCCACTTGAACCACACCCCCAGTCCTTTTTGCTTTTCCTTTTTTGGGGGGTTTTTTGTTTGGTTATTTTGTGGTGGCACTGGGGTTTGAACTCAGGGCCTCATGCTTGCTAGGCAGGTGCTCTACCACTTGAAACTCTCCACTAACCCTTTTTTATATTGGGTATTTTCTAGATAGAGTCTCACAAACTTTTTGCCTGGGCTGGCTTCGAACCGCCATCCTCCTGATCTCCGCCTCCTGAGTAGTTAGAATTACAGGTGTGAGCCACTAATGCTTGACAGCTGTTAGTTATTTTTCAAACAGGGTCTCCCATTTATACCTGGGTTGGGCTTGGACCATGTTCCTTCTATTATTTTTTCCTTGTAGCTGGAATGACAGATGCACACCACCACATCCGCTTTTATGGTTGAGATGGGGTCTTGCCAACATTTTGCCTGTGCTGGCCTTAATCTCAAGCCTCCCAATGTCTGCCTCCCGAGTAGCTAGAATTACAGGTGTGATAGCCACCCGTGCCTGACTAAGTCTCCCTATGTTCCCAGGCTGGTGTCAAAATCCTGAACTCAGGTGGATCCTCCCACTCTAGCTTCCTGAGTGCTGGGATTACACAAGCATGCTACTGTGGCTGGCAAATACTTTTTTTTTGGTGGTACTACAGTTTGAACTCAGCCTCACACTTCCTTGGCAGGTGCTCTTACTGCTTGAGCCACTCTGCCAGCCCTTTCTGTGATGGGTTTTTTTCAAAATAAGGTCTCTCAAACTTTTTGCCTTCAGGTTGGCTTCAAATTGTGATCCTCCTGATCTGAATAGGTGGGATTACAGGCATGAACCACCAGTACCCAGCTCAAATATTTTTATTTTTAATGGAACAATTTGACTTGAATATGTGCAAATTCAATTAATTTAAAGGATTGTTTGAACCTAAAAATATTGGGATTTAGATTACTTTCTGTAGGGTTCTCTGTGACCTAGAAATTTAGTGGCAGTGTTTAGCATTAACAGGCCTAGCTAAATTTGCAAAGGGTCTCCCAGATTTATTGGAGGAATAATCACAATAGAATAGACTGGAGTCTAAGAGCAGCAAGCACTCACTTCCAGCAACAGAAGCCCCAGATGTTTGACTGCAAAAGAGTCCATGGGATGAAGATCTCAGAGCAGGAAAGTTGGCAGTTGGTTCCTGTCTGATGGAGAAAGAATTAAGACCTCTGTCTTAGACTAAAGAACCCTTAGACTAAAGACTGAATGCCTTTGTCCAAGGTGCCCTGGCAAGAGGAACAGGTGTGTCCCTTTGACTTCTTGGCTTGGGCTCTGATACCCCAAATATACCTGGGGTATATCTGTATGTTGGTGAAACTAGAGGTAGCGCTCTAGGCGAATAAAGAATGTCAGGCAGTTCAGCCTCACAGTCTTACAGGACGTCGGAGGTAGAAGAAAGCTCTTCATTTCATAGATGATCAAACAGACCCTGATGGGGTGATGTGCTCAAAGTCTCCCAGCCAAGAGGCTGAGAGGACTACACATCAGATCAGTTGACCCCTGACTTACAGGTGTGCATTCCAGCCAGATTAAGGGACTTAGTGTGGCAGCTGTGGGGTAGTTCTCAGCATCTTCATGGCATTGAAGCTTTCTCTAGTGACTGCTCTGTTGTGGATGGTGAACCTGTTCTCCAGTGGTGTGTGGCTCCAGCTATCCTGCCTCAGCCTGCTGCAGGCCCCACCCTCCCTGTGGCCAGGCTGACGGGCCTTATCTCTTTACCCACCTGGCTATGTGCAGCCCTCCCACTGAGGCCAGGGTGGGCCTTGGGGCTCAGTGTCTTGGTTACTGCCACAGAAGCAGCAGTGTGGATTTCCTCTGGTCTCTGCTTCTCTGGATCCCAGAGGAGGGCAGTAGGTACTGAGGACGGGTAAGGGACCTGTACTGGAGTGTTCCTGACTCTGAGGCTCAGCTGGCCACACACAAACCAGGGGAAAGTTTCCTTTCTTTTAAGCCAGTGGTTTTGGTTCTTGGACAAGGTGTTGAGAACAGAGGGCACTGTGACCTGGGGACTTTTTCTACAGGAAGAAAACAACTCAAAGATGAGAGTGATTCGAGTGGGCACCCGTAAGAGCCAGGTGAGTGCAGGGGTGGGGTGCATGGAGTTTGTCAGAAGAGTTGTACTCCGATGGTCACGAGTTGAGGGGCTCAGAAGGTTTAGTGCCCAGCAGAAAGGAAATGGAGTGGTTGGAGGTTACACGTCGGGGTAATGAGATTGCTTCCTGTGGAAAGATAGTCTGTGGGCTAGGGAAGTTGTTGGGGTACAGAGGATTCCCAGGCCAGGCCCCTCTAACCCCCATGTGAGAATTCCTGTCCCTTCATGGTCTCCCTGGCCCTGTGAGGATATGAGCTTGGGGCAATAGCCAGGGAAGGGCAGGACTAATTTGAATCTCTGTCCCCAGCTGGCTCGTATACAAACAGACAGTGTGGTGGCAATGCTGAAAGCCTTCTATCCAGGCGTGCAGTTTGAAATCAGTAAGTTTTCTGGAAAGGAATGGAAGTTAATGGGAAGTTAAGTGATTCTGGGAGGAAGAACAGTGTCTCTAGGTTTGGCTGTGATCAAAGCCTGGGCCCATTACTCCAAGAATCCCTCTTGGCTGCTCCCACTTGGAGGGCTCTCCTTCTCTGAACACTTTAGATCTGATGCCAGGGCTAACCAGACATTTAACAGTGTGTCTGCTTTTCCTGCTAGATCATATGTTCCCAGAAGGCAGGGGCTAGGGCTTATTGTGTCTTTGTCCCCACCTTGAGTATTAGCATAGTACTAAGCACAGTAGGGTCTCTATAAATGCTGATTAAAAAGACCTAAATGATTGATTCTCTCCTCAGTTGCCATGTCCACAACAGGGGACAAAATTCTTGATACTGCACTCTCCAAGGTAACAACATCTTTTCTCCAGTCCCTGTCCCCCTTTCTTCCCCTAAGAGATCCACTCTGATGTTGTTTCTTACCTGGCAGATTGGAGAGAAGAGCCTGTTTACCAAGGAGCTGGAATATGCCCTGGGAAAAAATGAGTAAGTGAACACAGGCGAGTACAACACCCGCCCCCCCCACCCCCCCAAAAAAAATGTCTTGCTGGGACTCCAGTGTGCTACAGTTCTAGATATCAGCAAGGCAGCTGACTTGGACGCTCATAGGTGGGGTTCAGACTTCCAGAAAGGAGAGTGTCCTGCTTCAGAGAGGAGAGTTTCTGGAATACAAGATTGGCTGGGGGAATAGGTAGAAAGGTAGGTGGGAGGAGAGCAGGTCTCAAAGTCTTAGGAAGGCCCACTTCCTGAATTTCCAGTACTGAAGTAGTGGCAGGCCTATGTGGAGAAAGGGTCTCAAAACCCCTTCTCCTTGCCCCCTTCTCTCTAGAGTGGACCTGGTTGTTCATTCCCTGAAGGACCTGCCTACCATGCTACCTCCTGACTTCACAATTGGAGCCATCTGCAAGTAAGAGTCTCACCAAGTACGAGATCCAGGCAGGAAGCAGACCTTGGCTTTCCCCTGTGGGACTTGGCCCTTTTCCTAAAAAGCTGTCTGTCCTTAAGCATGGCAGAAAACTCAGGAAATGGCCACCTGGTTGGCTACTGAGAGAATGGGAGATGACCTGAAGTCATTCCATGAATTTCCCTCCTTCCCCAGGCGGGAGAACCCCTGTGATGCTGTTGTCTTTCACCCAAAATTTGTTGGGAAGACCCTAGAAACCTTGCCAGAGAGGAGGTGAGTGGGGCCTGGATAGGCACCTTGTTGGGATATGCACAGAAGATGGAGGGATGGGAGGAGGAGGAGAGAAACAGTGGCTGCCTAGTATTAAATTTCATTTTAAACCCTCTCTGAACAGTGTAGTAGGAACCAGCTCCCTGCGGAGAGCAGCCCAGCTGCAGAGAAAGTTCCCACATCTGGAGTTCAAGAGTATTGTATCCTTATAGAAGAGGGAAGTGGGCAGCAGCCAAGGACCAAGAGAAAGTCTGGAGGACCCTCGGAGCCTTGAGAATGGAAGGAGTTTCCAGATAAAGTGGCCTGTGGGGGAGGGGTGTGGAATTGGGTTGTCATTCTGTCCTCCCATCCATCCATCCATCCATCCATCCATCCATCCACAGTCTTGTAATATTTTCTTAGCCCCAGACAAGTAAGATAAACATTGTCCCTGCTTATATAGAGTTTACATGTTAGGTAGGGAGACAGACAGGTGTTGACAGTACAGCGAAACTGAGCAGTGATTAGTTGGGGGCAGTGAGGAAATAGGGTGCTTCCATTTTTATTTCACATGCCACTGTTTTGTTTTGATTTTTACAGTGAATTTTCGGTACTGGGGCTTGAACTCAGGGCCTTCACCTTGAGCCACTCCACCAACCCTATTTTTGTGAAGGGTATTTTCAAGCTATTTGTCCAGGCTGGTTTCAAATTGCCATCCTCCTTATCTCTGCCTCCCAAGTAGCTATTGCCCTGAGACCCTATCTTGAAAAAAATCCAGCACAAAACAGAGCTGGTGGATTGACTCATGTGGTAGACTGCCTGAGTTCAAACCCCAGTACCATCAAAAAAAACCAGAAAACTAATTTTAGGGTTGGTGGTTGGAGTGTTCAAGCGGTAGAGTGTCTACTTAGCAAGCACAAGGCCCTGAGTCCAAACCCCATTAATGAAGAGAAAAAAAGAGGATGGGAGGGGGGCAAGGTGTTGCTTAAGCAGTATAGCACCTACCTAGCAAGTGGAAAGCCCTGAGTTCAAATCTCAATACAGCAAAAAAAAAAAAAAAAGTGCCAAGTGCTCCAAAGGGTAGAATAAGGAATTTTTTGGAAGCATCTAGATAGAACATCTATGCACAGAGTTGCGGGGGATAGAGAGAAGGATTCTCAGGTTTTGTAACGTTGGGCAAGTTATTTAACCTCTGTATCATTGCCCTCATCTATATAGAAGGGATAGTCATAAGACCTACGCCATAGGGCTGTTGTGACACAAGGAAAGCACTTTAGAACAGCGTGACTTAAGTAGTAGCTATTGTCAATGAAGCTGAGAACTGGAAGCTGAGCAGAAGTCAGTCAAAGAGGGCACACCATGTCGCTCCTGCTTGTCCTTAGCATCTGTCCACAGCGGGGAAATCTCAACACCCGGCTTCAGAAGCTGGACGAGCAGCAGAAGTTCAGTGCCATCATCCTGGCTGTAGCAGGCCTGCAGCGCATGGGCTGGCAGAATCGGGTGGGGCAGGTAGGGGCTGCCCCTTTCCCCACCTCAGTTAAATCTGCATCTCCCTCCTGTCTGTACTTTCTTCTTGACCACCCAGGCTAGGGAGGTTGGGATCAGAGGGCAGACTCCACATTTGTGCTTCCTCTAGATGATAGACAGGCCCCATCTCACTGCTGGGAGTTTTGGGGCACCCTCATCCCACCTTTCTGACTATTCTGCCTCCACAGATTTTACACCCAGAGGAATGCATGTATGCTGTGGGCCAGGTAAGCTTGTCTGGGGAACCCACTGTTTATGTACTCTTCTCTTTGTTCTTAAACAAAGAAGCTGGTCTTGTCTTTGGCATCTCCTTCCCCTAGAATGAAATTCATAGGGAGGGGCTGCAAAAGGCCCTGGAGCAGGTGGAAGAGGGGTGGTTCCCAGCTTTAGCTCTATTGAATGGGGAAAGAAAGATCAGGCCTGATGTGTTAAGCTGTGTTTTTCATCAGGGGGCCCTGGGCGTGGAAGTCCGAGCCAAGGACCAGGACATCTTGGATCTAGTGTGTGTGTTGCATGACCCTGAGACTCTGCTGCGCTGCATTGCTGAAAGGGCCTTCCTGAGGCACCTGGTAGGGCCCTGGCTCGCCCTGTGGAGGAGTGGGGACTTGGGGAGTCAGGAAGGGCAGTGGGGAGATTTCTTCAGTGAGTGCTGTTTATTCAGTAGTAACTCATTCTTGTTGAATGTTGTATATGGACATCACCCATGTCTGGACCAAGCAGACTTTTCCATTGTCCTCTCTGAGTGCTGTGGTCACAGGGCAGAGTAAGGGTTGTTGGAGCTCACGGGAACTTCTCATTGCAGGAAGGAGGCTGCAGTGTACCAGTAGCAGTGCATACAGTAATGAAGGACGGGCAAGTAAGCAGGGCAAAATGGGTGGGAGGACAGGGAAGGAGGGACTGTGACATTCCTCCCTGAGCATCCCAGGTTTCTAAACAGTTCCCTCTCAAAATATGCTGAGGCATCCATTTTCTTTCCCAGCTGTACCTGACTGGGGGAGTCTGGAGTCTAGATGGCTCAGATAGCATGCAAGAGACCATGCAGACTACCATCCATGTCCCTGCCCAGGTAACAAGGGCTGGAGGGTGTGTGGGGAGTAGTAGTGAACAAGACTGCATATAATCTTCCCTTTCATCCTCACCAAATCTCACCTCCTTCCCTCATCCAGCATGAAGATGGCCCAGAAGATGATCCACAGCTGGTAGGCATCACTGCCCGGAACGTTCCACGAGGAGCCCAGCTGGCTGCCGAGAGTCTGGGCACCAGCCTGGCCACCTTGTTGCTGAACAAAGGAGCCAAGAACATCCTGGATGTTGCTCGGCAGCTTAATGATGTCCAGTAACTGGTGTGAGGAACACAGATGCCTGGGTTGCCACTTTCCAGTGCCTCATCTGGCCTTCAGTGCCCTGTGTTCACTAACTGGGAGAGTGATTACTTCAGTAGATTGAACTGCAGGGGCTGAGGCTTCCAGCGACCTGCTTCACCTTGGGGCCTTGATGACTGACTGCCTTGCCTCCTCAGTAGGTGGGGGCTTCATCTCTTTAGAGAAAAAGTTCAAGCCACAGTCTTCGAATGTAACTGACCCTACTAATAAACCAGCTCTGAAGGTGGTTGTTCTTTTGGTGGGGTTGGGAAGATAGGAATAAACCCAAAACCCTTTTAATCCTTACTTCTGAGTCTTGGACCTTTTTTGCGGGAGGGGGGGGCAGCAGGGGCGGTACTGCAGTTCGAACTCAGAGCCTCGCACTTGCTAGGCTGTTGCTCTGCCACTTGAGCCACTCCAGCAGCTATTTTTTGTGTAGATAGGATCTCAAACAACCACTTGTCTGGGACTGGCTTGGAACTGCCATCCTCCTCATCTCTGCCTCCTGAATAGTTAAGATTACAGGCATGAGCCATCAGGCCCGACTGGGAATTGAACTCTACCTGTTGAGCCACACCTCCAGTCCATTTTGCTCTGGTTGGTTTTGGAGATGGTATCTATTTGCCTCTCTAGCACAGCCTGCCAAATGATAGGATTACAGGCATGAACCACCAGTGCACAGCTGAGTCTGGGACCTTTGTCCAAAGTTCCAAAACATCCCTTCTGTGTCTACCTCAGTAATTTTCATTTCAAACTGTTGTCTCCCAAGGAACACCAAGAAAGCAAGAGAAAAATGGCCTTCATACCCTATGGCTTGACAGTTCATGTCTGTAATCCCAGCACTTGGACACGAAGTACTCCCAACAGGCTGGAGTACTTGGCGAGCCTGCCGTGTTAGCCTCTCTGCCCCCACCACCACCTGAAAGTACACAAAGCCGTCAGTCCCGCAGCTTGTTTGAGCTTAGGGCACTTTCCAGAGCCTCTGGACCCCTTGAGCCACGCCCCCAGCCCCATCCTACAGCTGCGGCAAAATGAAAACAGACGTCTCACTTAAAAAACAAAACAATCCTTTAATAAACAAAATCCTTTAATAAACAAAATCAGCCCATTCGAAAGCCCTCTAACCCCAGGGTTCTTTTCAGTGTTGGGGGGTGAGCTGCAAATGCCAGTCCAGAAGCCCGGCGGGCCGGTGCCGCCCGCCAGGTGCTGCTTTCGGTGCTTGGATCGCGGGTCCCCCGGGCCGTCCCCGCTCTCTCCCGGCAGCTCGACTCCGGCTGTCTGCGGGCCCGGGAACGCCGTTCCTGCGACAGTTTGGTCCTAGCCAGGCGTGCCTACGCTTAGAGGTGACAGCCCGGGTTGTCTTCCCGCCGAGCACCCAGCTGGGACGTCCCGGCGGCCGCGGGAGGGGCGGATTCACCTTCAGGGGGCGGAGGACGGGGTGGCTGAGTCACGCACGCGGCTGCGGGCAGGGGCCGCGGCCCCAGCCTGTCCCCCCACCCCCACCCCCAGGCAGGCGGGCTCGGGAACGCGGTCCTCCGGCGCCGCCGCAGGCCACGCGGGCGCGGGGGGAGGGGCGGCCGACGGCGGCGGGGACGCGCGTGGGGAGCGGGGCCGGGGAGGCGGGCGCTGCGTCCGCCCGTCCCGGGGCCCGAGGCGGCTCAGCTCCTTTCGTGAGGACGAAGGTGGCCCTTAAAAGGGCCTTTGTGATGGCATGGGGCGGGCCGGCGCGCGGGCTCGCTCAGTACTCCTGGGAGGCCTGGGCAGCCTTCTTGCCCGCCGGAGCCTTCGGCCCCACGGTGGCGCTGGTCTTCTTGGGCAGCAGCACGGCCTGGATGTTGGGCAGAACCCCTCCCTGGGCGATCGTCACGCCGCCCAGCAGCTTATTGAGCTCCTCGTCGTTGCGGATGGCCAGCTGGAGGTGGCGGGGGATGATCCGCGTCTTCTTGTTGTCGCGGGCCGCGTTGCCCGCCAGCTCCAGGATCTCGGCGGTCAGGTACTCGAGCACGGCCGCCAGGTACACCGGCGCGCCGGCGCCCACCCGCTCGGCGTAATGGCCCTTCCGCAGCAGCCGGTGTACGCGGCCCACCGGGAACTGCAGGCCGGCACGCGAAGAGCGCGACTTGGCCTTAGCACGGGCCTTGCCGCCGGTCTTGCCGCGGCCGGACATAGTGCGCGAGGTAGGGCAGTTTAAAAAAAGAAAAAAAAGAAAGAAACCCCCACCAAAAAAAAAAAAAAAACCGCCTCAAATACACCTCACAACTACCACCCGCCGCAGTCCAACTGTCGCCGAGCGCGTCACGAGGCCGCCTTTATAAGCTCCCAGGGCACACCCCCCGAGGCCTTCTGATTGGCTGGTCTCTGTAATACCCGCCTCTGGTTGGTTGCGGTTAACCCTTCCGTAACGTGCCATGGCTGAGGGAACGCGCCCGAGGATTGGTCCAATTTGAAAACCTCCTGCCCGGGGAAAAGGCGAGGAGGAGTTGCAGCACGCAGACTGCTAACCACCTCCTGACATGGCCAATCCGGGCAAAGCGCGCGAGATTTAAACGCCTCAGCTGGCGACTAGAACCAAAAGCCAAAAAGGGTGGAGTCTGAAGTTACCTAGACAGCCTCTGGGAAATCTGTGGTGTAGGACTTTTAAAGGAAAGCGGTGAGCATTACAGCTACCTCTGCTTCCCTTTCCAGGTGTGATCACTCCTTTTATCCGGGCAAAAGGAGTGTAAAGAAGAAATCAGACCTCCTACGAGAATAATCTTATGCCAGAAGACAGACAGTATGGCCTTCCACGTGACATGAAGCACTAGCATAATACCCATTCAACATGGTCTGCCTAGTCTCAGTTCTGTCACTTCTTCCTAGAAAGGATCTGATGGCGTGGAAAGATAAGCATCTTCTTGGAAGAAGTACCCCCACCAATCCTCCCAATCTATTCTAAAGTGCCCCTAAAGGAAATACACTGGGGATACAGCTCAGTGGCAGAGCACTTGCCCAGCATGTGACGGCCCTGGGTTCATTCCCCAGCACAAGAAAAAAAAAAGGAAATATACCTACAGGAACAACAAGAAAAAAGCAATACTTTATTGTCACTATTGGGAGCACTTGGCCCCATGCCTGCTCTTACTAATTAGAATACTTCATTTATAGTCAAATGAGAAGTCACCTTCAAGTCTGTGGCCCTAGCCAGCCCTAACGAGTTCCATCCGGAACCCCAGCATCTTCCTGGAGTCAGGACTCTGAAGGTTGAGTTGTGGATATCTGCGTAAAAGCTGTGGCCATCCCATCATAGGATGGTGCAAAGATGGGATAGAAAGAGGGAGTGGCAAGTTGAAGAAAGCCATAGGCAAAATCCAAATCGATAGTACTGAAGAGCCCAGATGTCACTAAGCACAGCTCAGGGGAAACGCTCACAACAAAATCAGGAGGAGAGTGAAGAGTGGGAGAGGACTGGGCCAGAAGGCAGTCTTGGACCAGACAGAGGTTGGCCCTGGTCAGGACCCTTGGAAACTTGTAAGGTAAAGGGCAGTCTTCAGGAACTCAGACATCATAGAAGAGTCGGACAAGCTGGTACCGAATGGAGAATGTGACAGCACTGCCCAGGATCTGCAAAGAAAAATGGATTGGAATAAGAATCAAAAAGAGCCATGCTCACTGAAATTAGAAGGATCATGGTTCAAAGCCAGCCCAGGCAAATAGTTCCAGAGACCCCATCACCAAAATAACCAGAGAAAAATGGACTGGGGGTATGGCTCAAGCAGTAGAGCACCTGCTTTGCAAGTGTAAAACCCTGAGTTAAAACCCTAGACCCACCACCACCACCACCAAAAAAAAAGGAATCAAAAGGGAGGGCTGGTGAGTACCTATCAAGCAAGTGTAAAGCCCTGAGCTCAAACTCCAGTACCACAAGAAAAAAAAAAAGTCACTCCTTTAAAAAAAAAAAAAAAAAAAAAGGACTGGAAGTGTGGCTCAAGAAAGTAAAATGCCTGCCTGACAAGCACAAGGCCCTGAGTTCAAACCTCAAAAAAAAAACAAGAAGGGACACAAGGAGACATAAACCCCACCCTCAACTTCACCTGAAGCAGCAACAGGAGCAATGTGAGGTTTTTCTCATGTATGGGCCCAAAGATTTTAATTAGCAAGTTGATGAGAGTCATGTTGTTACATTCAGTGAAGGCACCATCCTCATTCTCACCATGGTGCACTGTCACTAACCGGAGGTTCTCTGCTACCTGGAGGGACCAGAAATGGAGAGAACTTGTGCTAATATCCATGTTTCAAGAATGGAGAGCTGCTTGATGCTTCCAAGCTCCCCTTGGACCAGATACAGTCCTAGGTTCCCCATTCCCCGAGTTCAGGATGGTGGCCTGGGGCCTTACCTCCTTGTTACCTTGTTACCTTTAATATAAAGGTGCCCAAGAAAGATAGGTTCTTGGTCTTGAACTTGGAATAGCTCATCTCCAGCTTGCCTGTCTTGGTATTGAGTCTGTGGAGGAAAGACAGCTTCATATGACTAAACCACTACTCAAAGAACTCTCCTCCCTCTGGTTATTTACTAGGAAGAACAATGAAGAGGAAGTAAAACAACCTGAGAATTATTTCTGTCTCTGCTGCTTACTCCTGTGTGATCAAAGCTGCTGTGAGCATTAAAGGAGACTATGTAAATAAGTGTGCCTTGTAAATTATAAAGGTCGACCCACATGGAAAGTTAGTCCTTCTTTGGGCTCACTTCCCTTGCATAGGAAATGAATAGACTGGCTTTAAATATCCCAAGTGAAAAGATATGATGTCCCTCACAAGCCCCAAAGTGGCTACCTGGGTACACGGTGTCGAGGGCAAGGGATGATGTGTAGGAGCTGAGGCAGTGAATAGAGGAAGTTGAACACCTGTGGCATGAAGAAGAGTAGCATGGTCTTGCTGAAGTGTCCCAAGATGCCTACCACGGCAAAGGTCATGCCAGCAAAGTAACAGAAGGTATCTCCCACAAACACCCGTGATGGGTACCTGTGTGGGAGAGAGGATCTGAGCCTGTGGCAAGAGGCATTACTAATCCTTTCTCTTTCACACTACACACTCTGGGCACTGGTCTAGCCCTGACCGTAGTTCCAACTGAACAGAGGCACCAGCTGTCCTAGTAACTCTGCAAGACCCAAAGCCTCAGATTCATCTATCCCTGGGGGGTTCCAGAGCATACGTCCCCAACTACTGCTAGATAGAGAGCAATTTCAAAATACTACAAAGCTGGGATTGTAGCTCAGTGGTAAAGCATGTGGTTACATGTATGAGGCCATGCGTTTGACCCCAAGCACCTTGGTGGGGGTGGGGGGAAGAATGACAGAATAGTATGCACAGGTTTAGCCTCTCCATCAGAAACTGGGTTAGGATCAAACCATTTTTTGGCTGGGCAGGATGATTCAAGCCTGAAATCCCAGTTACTTGGGAGGAGGAGATAGGGATGATTGCAGTTCAAGGCTAGCCAGGTCAAAAAAATTAGCAAAACTCCATCTCAACCAATAAAAGCTGGGCATGGTGATGCACGTCTGTCAGCGTAAATAGGAAGATTCCCCATCCGGGCTGGCCTGGGCATTAACTCGAGACCATATTCAAAATAGCAATCAAAAAGGACTGGAGGCATGGTTCAAGTAATAGAGCAACTGTGTAGCAAACGCTAGGCCCTGAGTTCAAACCCAAGTAATGCAAAAAAAAAAAAAAAAAAGAAGACCATCTTTGCCACCTGTTCAGGTAGTTGTATTCCTTATTCTAGGCCTACTCACCAGTTATGGTAGAGCAATCCCAAAGTAGTGAAAAAAAAAGGTATCATGAAGTAGAGGGAAAAGATATGATCATCCCGGTAATCACCTTTGGAAACGGAGGAAGAAGAAGGAAAAGTTAACACCCATATCTCCACATACCATGGTTCTATTTTTGTTCATCTCTAAGTTTTATTCCCAGTTGTATCATCCACTTCAACCCAAATCACTTTCTTTTTTTTTTTGAGCCACACCTCCAGTTCTCCAAGTCACTCTCAAGAACCAACTATCTCCAGCTTGTGGAGTGGCTCACCCGGCACAGAGCACCTGCCTGGAAAGCATGAGGCCCTGAGTTTAAACACCAGTGCCACAAAAAAAATTTAAAAAAATAATAATAACCCACTAGCCCTTTTATTTCACTTAGGCATTTCTGAATATTTTACCACTTTCATGGAACCTTCAAAAACTAATTAATGAATGTCTTATATTTGGTGTAAACATTGTGACATACATCTAAATACTAGCTTTTCTTCCTAGCTGTGTGACCTTGACTATGACATATTTAACCTATTTCCTGTAAAATAGGGCTGATGATAACACTTGTTACACAGAGCCCTTTAGAAAACAAATGAGTGTTTTAAAAGTGCTTAGTTTAGGACTGGGGGCAAGGCTTGAGTAGTAGAGCACTTGCCTAGCAAGAAAGAGTCCTTGAGTTCAATCCCCAGTACCAAAATTTAAAAGAAAAAGAAAAAAAGCTTAGTTTTAATAAGTACTTGTTGATGTCCATCAACCAAAGATCACCAAAAACACACTAACAGTCCAAATTGGGTTTTCTGACATACAAGGTATACGGGAGACTTTGGAAATCATATACCATGGGAGACCACAGAATGCTTCAGTCAAGGTGTGTTAGGAAGGGCTTGTTGAGTTTATTTCAGGGAGGGTGCAAGAAAGTAGACTTGTGCTATGGGCTGGGGGTTTTCTGAACGAAGGAGTAATTCTATGTCTGAGCATATTCATTTTTCTCTAAGAAGGAGGAGGAACTGAGTTGTTACTAAGCAGAAGTTGCATTCTAAAAGTTAGCAGAGAGGGAATCTTGGCCATTTTTGTGGGCTGCTCAAGTGTTCTTGTGGTTTGTCTGTGTTCAAACGTGATTAGGAAGGGCCTGGGTTTTGCCTTGTCCTAATACATGCTGAAGTTCCAGGAACTTTATGTCGGAAAGGAGAAGATCATAATCTAGCTATTAATGCTAATTCAGCTGTAAGTGATGGGGCTGCTGTCTTTCTCTCATGGTTAGTAAATTGTCACTGTCATTTGCAAAGTAAATAGTTTCCCTTACCTCCTACACTTACTCATATTGTTTCTTTCCCCCTGAATTTCCCCAAAGTCATATATATCAGGCATCTTGCTTAACACTCAGACTTCTCTCTCTCCCTCTCCCCAATCCCACCTACCTTCTAGCTCCACCAGGTTGAAGACAATGATAGAAGCAGAGATGACTAGTGACTGGCCAGCTTCTAGGCCATTAATTCCTGCTAGGATATTGATGGCATTGGTACAGAACACTGCAAGCAGTCCCATGTAGACATAGTATAGGATCCCTGGGAGGAGACATGGTGTGAAAAGTACCTAATGAAGGAGAACTTAAGACTATTCTGAGACCAAGCACAGGATGAAGGCCCACCAGAAGGGACCTGAGCAGACATAGGGACAAGACAGAAACTTGGAGAATGTGGAGCATCAGGAAGGGTGTTCTGTTGGATAGCCATGAAGTAGGTGTCCCAGGGCCAGTAGTGGTAGGGCTACTCACCCAAGTCCAGATGCAGGCCAAGAACCAGTCGCAAAGGCTTGGGCACCACAATGGTAGTGTTGCCAAAGTTGGTGAAATAGACCATGAGGAGAGGTAATGAGGCAGCTGTGGGCAGCAGCAGCTTATGGCGCCAGCGCAGGTTCAGTACATCATCAGCAAAGCCCAGGAAAATCATGCAGCAGATGGCAAGGAGAGCACCTATAAGGGCCACAAACTGGGGGAGGCTCAGGCAGGTCACCACTCAAGCCTACCCAGTCCACCTTCCAAGAATTCCTGTCTTTTCAATATAGCCGTCAGCCTTCCTCCCAAATCCAAAATAACCCCAACTCCCAAGCCCCGGCCAAGAGCCCCCACTAACTCACTTACTTCATGGTGGGGGAATGCCTTCTTACACTGCTCCTCCGCAAAGCAGTTCAGGAAGGGGAAAGGGATGAAGCAGAAGAGGATGATAAGGAAAACAGCACCGCTGATCACTCCCTGGGACTCTGGGCTGTGGCCCAGCAGCAAGTGGGTGGAGGAGGAAGAGGAAAGAGGCGTGGTCACTCACTACTGCCAGGGTTACAAGTAATCCAAAATGGTTTTTTCCTTTTTTTTTTTTTTTTAACGAGAGGGCTGGGGGCAGAGGGAGGAGGGCACCACTGCCAGAGTTCCTGATACACCCAAGGGTCCGCATCTATCCTCCTCCAAAGCTAACCAGTTCTACCTATCACCTCCCAGAATTCCGGGCTGCCTGGGTTAGCGCTGGGTCCCGCGCAGGGTCGAGCACCTCAGTCCTCGCCCCTGCCCTGCCCACTCTGACTCTTGATCCAGGAACCCGGGTGCCTCTACTCACATCTTCTGCGTGCTGGGTTTGTTGAGGTCCCTGCCACAGAGGTTTGCATCGATAAAGTGCCCGCGGAAGGCAGGGATGAGGGTGACTGTGGCTACAAATCCCAGCAGCGAGCCGATCAAATTCACCAGCAGCGGCGGCAACTCCGGGAAGGCCCACATGGTGATCGGCCAGGGGCCGGGCTCCGCCACCGACTTGCCAGTTAGCAAGCTGGGCAGCAGCCCTGAGGCCTTCAACAGTGTGGAGTGGCCGCTAAATACAAGTAGAATATTCCCACACCACGCAGCGCAAAACCCAGTAACTCTGACTTGACCCACCCTCCTGACCCCCAAGAGGCTCTATAAAGCAACCCAGCCTCTGCCCTGCTGCACCTTCCTATCCACTGTTTCCGCCCGGATCTTGATTGTACAGGTACAGTCGCGGTGGAAGGCGGAGGCGCCATTTTTGAAACGGGCACTACAGCCGGAACGGTAGTGTTATTTTAAGCTACATTTTTATTAGATATTAGAGTCATCACTACAGTTTTGAAAAAGCAATTAAAGAATGACGAGCATGTGCAGATATTCTCCTAACATATGAAAGATGTAGAGCCTAGAGCAGAAATACCCCTTTGCCCAGTTCCAAGATGAACGCCTGCTTGTACCACGTGTCTGACACTGCTCACTCGGGTTCCACGTCAGTTTTAGCTCCGTCGGCCCACGCAGGTCAGATTTAAAGGGCCAGTACCCCGCGCTAAATCTGGGATGCCCTGGAGCCGCGAGTATGATTACTGGAAGCCAGGGGTAGGCAGGAGGGACTGGGGTGTGAAGCCGCACCTGCCCTTTGTAGGAAACCTGTTGCCAACGTAGTCGGAAGCCAAGGTAAACACAATTCTGTTCCCAGAAAGGCAGCTACAATTTGGAAGGATGATGTAAATTCTAAAGCATAGACAGTTGAAAAGCCCCTCCCACTCTGTTCTCTTTTCGATTCAGGTACTTTTCCCTCAACATCCCACCCACCTTCTGCCCCTACTGTAGCAGTTAGTTGCCAGGCAACTCCGAACGGTACTTCGCCACTGAAGAACTGGAAGAGCCATCAGGTCTTGAATTTTACCCAGGACTTAAATTTGGTCTTGGATCACTGTGTTGTGCCAAGACGTCTGAGGTGCTGTAAAGAGCTCGGAAGACAGAAGAGTCAGACAGGTCTCTCGGTCAGATTTCTTCCTCCAAGTCTCTGTGCTTTTTGCTTGACACCTGTTCCCTGCAAGTAACAGCTCACCTGACTCTTCATTCCCCTGGGCTCTTAAGGTGGCAAATGTTTCATTCCTCAGAGAAAATCACCACCAGGGAGTTAGGGAAAAAGATGACCCACTAGCCTGACACTTTGTCCGTCTTTTCAAATATGGCATGCTTCAGCAAGTGGGGTGGGGTTGACTCTTTTGAGGTCAAAGATAGTCTCTTTTTCTTAAAAATCAGGTATGCTAAGTGCCTTCTACATGAAAGTGGCTCTAATGAACAACAAAACTCCTATATATGTATAAACTACATAGAGACATTCACACATAATCCCAGAAACTTGATAGTATTCCACTAATTTTTTTTTCTTTTGCATGTGTGCTCCCTGCACATGCATACACACATGCAAACTCCCTGGATTCAATTGTTTTTCTTTCCACAGGGTGTTCCCATGGGGCTAAGGACACAAAGATATCTGTGTACAAGGATCATGTGTATTGAGTTTGAACCTGGAAGAGGTACAGAGGGCAACAGGTACACATGGAGGAAGTTGTCGCTAAGAAAGTGAGAGGGCCTTACGGAAGAGTATTATCTCCAAAGCTTTCAGAAATAGAGTTAAGGGCCTTTCAAATCCGGAGAGTGAAATGCAAGGAGCAGGTGGGAAGGAGAAGCTAATGCGATACCCAAAGGTATCTCATTCAGTTATCTTGTTGATCAGGCTGAGACTCCCTGGAGGCCTGAGGGACAGTCTGTATTTGTTCTTTTCTTTTTTTTATTAGGTGGCCAAGCCTAATAAACCTTCCTTCTCAATCTGTTTTAAGCCCTAAGATCTCTGTCTCTTTCTTCTCCAGAGATCATTATCCCACTCATCTCCACCCAGGAAGGTGGGAGGATTTGTTCAAAGACAAGACACTAAGGACTCATCATCCACATATACATGTTACCATCAGAAAATAGTTACTTGGATACTTGTCATATAATCTAAATAAATTTGCTTTCATGATGGTAAATTCTCAGTTGACTATCAGACTAATCAGAAAGAGAACCAAACACATGGCTCACTTGAAATTTTGTGCTTAGCCTGGTAAAAGTTCAAAGCATTTGCCTGAATGCTGAAGAGCAGTCACTGGGTCTCATGGATCAGCTGAGTTGTGACTATCCCTGTGCTAAGCAGACAATATCTGAGATGTAGTACATCTACTAGGCAACCCTGAGTGTGTCTCAGTAAGCAAGACCATTTGAGTCACTCTGCCATGATTTGGGCTGGTGGAGTTGTCCATGTGGTAGAGCATCTGCCTAGCAAGTGTCAGGCCCTGAGTTCAAAGCCCAGTACTGCCATTAAAAAAAAAAAAAGTCATTAGCAGAAAGTATACCCTAAGATCTTTCCATTCTATTTGTTTTGTTTTGTTTTGGTTTTTTTTTTTTTTTTTTTTTTTTGCAGTACTGGGGTTTGAACTCAAGGCTTTCACCTTGAGCCACTTCACCAGCCCTATTTTTGTAAAGGGTTTTTCGAGATAGGGTCTCAAGGAGCTATTTGCCCAGGCTGGCTTTGAACCTGGATCCTCCTGATCTCTGCCTCTTGAGTAGCTAGGATTTACAGATGTGAGCTACCAGCACCAGGCACTGACATAGTTTTTGAAAGATGGAAAAATAATGCAGAAATTATTAGTGTTTACATGTATATTGGAATATTTTGTTAGACTTCTTAAAATGACAAGGAATTGCAAATCCTTGTGATGTGCTCAGGAAATCCTGAAGTCTGTGGGAAACACAAAGTGAAAAAAAAATGTTGCTTCTCCTAAGGAGTACTTCAGCATATTTTAAGTAACTTGGGTGAATATGGGAAGAGAGATGACTAAGACATGGTCCCCACCCTTAGGCAATTTCCTGATGAGTGGGAAAAGCAGCCATATAAACAACCAGCTATATTATAAGACAGCATGAAATAGGTGCTGGAGGTCTAACAAGTTGAAGATTAGAAGGACTAACTTAGGATATTCATGTAAGATTGAATTGTGAAGCAGTATCTGCCAGCATAGGACCAAGTGCCCAGTGGAGGAGTTGAGGGAACAAATCTAAGAACTCAAGAGAACTGAATTCTTGGGGT